TGACCAGGCTATTTTGGCCTATTTCCAACACAGATGTGTCTTGTGCTCCTTTTTCAGTATCACAGTCAAGGGTCTTCACATGCATTGGCAAAGAGAACATTCAGTCGAATATCAACGCCACGAGGCGGTCAATGAGTTACTGCTTCCACATCTTGAGCATGATAGCCCATGTCGATTGTGCGGTACATCATTCAAACAGTACCACAAATGTCACATTGTACGTCAGATGGCGCTGTTGCTTACCAAAGATGGACATGAAGCTGCCAGAACCACATCCTCCCTGGTCTGCAAGCATTGTGGTAAGGCATATACGACACGACATGGCCTTCTTCAGCATGAACGCCGATACCATCGAGCAGAGGAGGCTGTGGAAAATGTACCTGCTCAAGACATTGACTTGCAGTGCCTGATTCATCAGGCGGTCTTGGCCAACAAATGCGAAGACCTCTTGCTCCAGGAGGGCATTCAGCACTTCTTGTCCACCAGGTGCATCAAGTGCCAAAAACAGTACGTGGGCAAACGTGAATTACATCGACATTTCAAACAAAACCATGCGACTATGTGGCATGCTTGTGAACAGAGAGCTCTTGGCATGGATCGACAGTGGAAACCCCAATATGGATGTGTGTGCATTCCTCCATCGTACACCAAGCACATCTGTCTGGTATATCTACAGTTTGCATTGCTCAGGCTTGACCAAGAATGTCAGTTGGCGCCACAGCTGCTTGCAGAGCCTCCGGACGTGATCCTCAGCGTGGTAGAGCAGATTGAACCACTGCTTTGGTTGGGCCTAGTGCAGAACCTTTATTGTCGAAGTGCACTGAAGATGAATCTCACGATGCACTGCCAGGTTTGTGGGTATTCTGGCGACAATGCTGAAGATCTGAGACTGCACCTTCATGCCGCACACCCGGTGCACCTGCAGGAAAGTCTCTACTTGAAAGAGATGTTTCAATGGAGCATGTTTATGGAAATGGGTTGTTTCTGTAACCCTTCACCGGGCTGGGGGACATTGCACCACGAATGTGTTGGCCTGACTCAGCTTGCCATCATTGTGGCCTCGTTCAACTGGCAGGTGGTCATTCCCTGGCCCTTCTCCTCTCATGAGCTGATGGTGCTCCTGGCCGACATGCTTCCCTGTGCAGACCTTCAGAAGATTGCAATGGCGATGATTACACGCAATTTTCATCAGTTGTGGGACGATTCGACCCTTCTGGGAATGTTGGCCACACGATGCTTGATTTGTCAGGAACAGGTGGATCTACATCACATCCAGGCTCATCTGGTGGTCAGACATCAGATTACTGCAGACAAACTGAAATACATCACACATCAGCTCAGTACAGTCTTTGCAGATATGAGCCTTGCCGAAGAACGCTGTGACTGGTGCAATGATCTGCTACCGTCCTACCTGAATGCTGAGGATGAGCTGTGCGTGGATCCTCATGCACATTTGCAGAAGTGTCCCATGATTTGTCAGCTGGCGCTTTTGCTGATGCATCCCAAATGGTCCAGTCCGGCATTGCAGCCTCTGACCTGGGCCTCTCAGGAAAAGATTGCGGAGACGCACCAGCAACATGCCCTGAAGATGTGGCAATTCAACGTCAGCACCTCAGAAACCTTTGGAACGTCCCTTGAGCTGACAGCGCAATGTGGACTCCAATTGATTGAAGATGGTATGCTTGCAGATTGTTTGACATCGAAGTGTCTTTTGTGTGGCAAAGCGTTTTTCATCCATCAACACATGATCCAACATCTTCACAGTGAACACAACTTTCTACAATTCCAAACCTACATGTGCTACAGACGATTGCTCCTGCGTTGCGCAGACCCATGCCAATTCTGTGGCCTCAAGCAGCATGCTACGCAGTGCCCTGCCCTTCTCAATTTAGCCGTCTTCCTTCTCAATGGATACGGCATCAGAGGCCTCGGAAGGCATCGATGCGGCTACCAAGATCTGGGGCAATCTTTTGACAGCCGACCAGATGGCAGCCTTGGGCATAGCAGCTCCGGCCAACAGAGACTCCAAGCGTCCACGGACAGACCGGAAAGGACCCTCCAGTTCTGCTTCAACCATGGTACCGAATGCAGTCTTGGGAACGTTATGTCGCCTGGTCATGAGGCACGAGGACACCATCAACAGCCTCCTCCAGGAGAGCCAATTCTTGCTCCACTTGGCCCCTGGCCAAGGGAGCATTCTTCCCTTGATGTTGGAAACAAGCAAAACATGGCACCAGCAGACGGAGAAATCTGTCCCGCTCCGACACTTGTTGGCCCAGACCATGATCCAGGAGTTGGACAGGAGACTTCAGAAATTGATGGCGGCAACGCCCACCGAGGAACTGTTCCGGGATTGCAAATCCTACAACCTTGTGAAGGACGACAACAACAGGACAATGCCGTTCCTGCGTTGGAGCCATCAGCGCAAATGCCTGGAGCCCACAGAGCAACCTGGTCTACCCATCCAGGAAGTCCACCGCAGCCTACAGAACATACTGCGGCTGATGGCCGAGGATCATCGGGTGACACTCCGCTTCCACAGCCTGAAGAAGCCAGTGGATGGAAAGGAGTCAAATCAGGCACTTCCATGGATCTGGACGGTGGGGCTCCGCAACTCACCGGAGCTGTGGCACGAAGTGGCCCGCCTGGCCTTTCACAGTTCTTGGCAGCTAGTGCAAGTACGCCTGCGACCTCAGGGATTGGAGCGTACACCACTAGCCAAGCAACTACAGAAACACATGTGACGTGCATTCCCATCTTCATGAACAGCACTGGCACGGCCTGCTTTGCCAATGTGGTGATCATCAGCCTTGCTTGGTTGACGCTGCTTGCAAATGGAAATGACCCTTCTCAGTGGGTTCATGGTTTCGAGCTGCTCCGCAACATTTTCCTTGCGAACCACTTGCCGATGGACCTTCCAAATTTTAGTCCTTTTGTGTGGTTACTTTTAGGGGACTGGTCAGTGGAGTCATTCCGGAATCAACATGATGTGTGCGAATTTGCAACTTATTTGCTTCATGTCATGCAACCACAATTTCTCCACTGCGAATGGGCGACGAAGCCAGGGAGACTGGCGTTTGGGGAAAACCTCCTGCCATCAGAAAAAGGTATGCGTTTCTCACCTATCAAGCTTGCCTATGTTGACCACACAGCGGACTCTTCATCACTTCAATCCCTTGTAGACATGTGGCATGACATGCAAGGTCTTTGCCGAGCAGCTGAGGAGGTGGGTTACCAACTCATCTTACAAATTGACAGATTCAACCCAGAGACACGTGCAAAATGCCAGCCATTGATTGACATTGCCGACAACATCATTCGTTTTCCATTTTTCAGCAATTGGGAAGGTGATGTGATTTTTGATTCCCTGGAAATCTGTGCCATCATCTATCACCTGGGCACATCCCCTCTTGCGGGTCACTACAGAGTGGCCTTGAGATATCAGAAACAATGGATGATATACGAAGATGGACGGCCACCAGACCAAACAAAAACACTCCCCGATACAGTTTTGAGAAACAGTGTGATGTACTGGCTTGTGCGTCCGTCTGAACTCACTGCCAGGACTATGGACCAGGAAGATCCCAGACTCTTCCGTAGCTTCAGCACCATTGCACGGGACGTGGATGATGGAATGGTGGATGGCGATGGCACATCCTAGGGTCTATGGACAGATGCTTTTCACTGGCTCTTTTTGACTGTGATTTTCAATGAAATTTTTCTGTCATTGGACTGGTGACAGCTGGGTGGACCTTAGCTTGTCTTTTGCATTTTGCACCTTGCATGCATTAGTGCGGCTTCCTTGCACCTGTGCAGTGCATTGCGCTGCTGCTGGATGCGCTGGGCTGCCTATGGATGCAGCATCTTCGATGGCTGCTGGCCTGTGCCTTTGCTGCTGCGCAGCTGTGGCGTTGCTGAGGCTGCTGTGCGGATCCTTGCGAGCGCTTTTGCAGCTGCAGCCCTGGCGGATGCTACTGAGAGACTTTTTTCTCACCTTTTTCTAGCGTTTCTTCACTGTCCTTGTACATTGACTTTTGGTACCATGCCTTTGCACTTTACTAACAACTACCTGTACTGCTGCATGAGCATGGTCCTTTTGCATTTCTCCTTTTTTGTAGTTCTTCGGAACCTGGTTTGGGTAAGCCCATGGCAATGTGTGGCGGACGTCAAAATCCACATATGCTATGGCCGGCACTACAATGGTGCTGTGCGAGCTCGCCTGCCGACACGTTACATGTGTTGTTTTGAGGTTGTAAAAAACACACACACACAGACACACACACACAGACACACACACACAGACACACACAGACACACACAGACACACAGACACACACAGACACAGACACACACAGACACAGACACACACAGACACACAGAGACAGACAGAGACACACACACAGAGACACACAGACAGAGACACACAGACAGAGACACACACACAGAGACACACACACAGAGACACACACAGAGACACACACACAGAGACACACACACAGAGACACACACACACAGAGACACACACACAGAGACACACACACAGAGACACACACACAGAGACACACACACAGAGACACACACACAGAGACACACACACAGAGACACACACAGAGACACACACACACACGCTGTACATATACCAATCACATGGGATATGATGGAATAGGGAACCCGCAAGGCTACACTAGATTTGGGGTATGCCTCATTTTCAGAGAAAGGGAAGCAGGTTCGTGTCGTTTGAAGTGGCCTCAGTCAGGGCAAGCCTTTGGGGGCTCATAGAACCAGCTGTCCAGCCAATACTGGAACTGATCAGCTGTGATCATTCAGTGACAACATATCCCAAAAATGGTGTCAGTTTAAGGGGCAACTTATACCTGCAGGTTTTTCCTGAATTCAATTGAAGATATGAAGGTCGTTGAAGGTCTGTACCGCAGGAGTACCTCACCCCATGTTCTGCCGATTCGTGCCCATTTTGACTGCAATCTTTGCCATCATGACAGGCGGTTGGGGTGGTGGCTATGGAAAGTTTGGAGGTGGCTATGGGCCTGACTACAACTATCAGCAAGGCGATGGATATGGATACCAGGGCTATTGAGCTCCTTGAGCTCGTTGAGCTCCCCGGGCTCCCCCTTGACTGCTGCCGCAAGCCGCGGCAATAGACGTCCTATGATGCGATGTGGGAAAAAGAGCTCTGCTGGTGATCCCAACTGCCTGATGTCACTGATGTCTGTTAAAGGATGGAGCCCACTGAGCCCACCAACCACTTTGTTTTTTTTATTTTGTTTTTCCCCTCTTAGCAACTCCAAAAAAGATAGAATAGTAACATCATAACATCCCACTTACATACGGATACATGTCCTTTCTATTCGGGCCCTGGCCTACAGAATGATTTCCGGGTCATGTTTCATTCCACTTCTCTGACTTTGGACATGACCATTGGACCCATTGGACCCATTGGACCCATTGGACCATTTCAAACGAAGATCATGTCTTGTAGTTTTTGTATCCCGTATCCTTCTATAGATTCCAAAACGTGCAGTATCTCGAGGTTGCGAAAAAAAACACTGCGCAAATCCTAACTCAGACTTCCAAACTGATCTCAACGTTGTCAGTGTGTAGAGCCAGACCTCCTGGGTGTGTCTGAAAGCAGGGCACCACCGCTACCCCATTTCTGGAAAAAGCCTCCGAGAATCTCTCGATGGTTTGACCTCTTCCACCATTCGGAAACTCTACGATCTGTGGAATCTGGATTTTACCCTCTGGTAAACTAACAGAAAGTGAGTTTTCCCATAAAAAATGGTGATTTTCCATAGCTATGTTTGTTTACCAGAGGGTATAGAAAAAAACAGCTGGTTTTCGAATGAATTCCCTTCAGGCAGCCGTGATTTCAGCCGTACAGTTGGTTGCTGTTGGCAACCTGACAGCGATGGAGAGAGAGAGAGAGAGATATCCCAAACAAAATGACAACAACAACAACTACTACTACTACTGCTACTACTACTAATAAAAGTACAACATGCCTTTGAGATGTGACGCCTGCAATATTCAGGTTGTCACCACGTGGTTACCCATATGATTCCTCTGGTGCGAGGCAGACAGTATGTGACTGTGACTGTGACTTGATGATGATGAGGATGGTGGTGATGATGATGATTATGATGATGATGAGAATGATATTATTGTTATTCTTGCCAGTGTGATTCTTAACTATGTCTTACTTGTTATGATCTCCCTTTTAATCATTATTCACCCACTATTTCCATCCCTTTTGCGCATCGGAGCTGTTTTGGGCCCTTTCCATCCCTGTTTCAGGCACCCGACCTGCGCTTTTGGAATCGTCCGGGGGCCCTGTGGAATAGCCCGCAATGTCTCATTGATTCAATCGCTGAATCCTTTGATTTGGTGCTAGAAGGGGTGGTGCACACACAGATATATGAGCCACCGCAAAAACCCCGGCAATACATGGCAATACTAAATATGTATTGGACGGACATTGGTTTATGAAAATTGATGGAAATTGTTAAAAACACACGGTAAGCGATGGGACCTTCCCAAATTAGCGATACCCCTTTTCAAGGTTTATGTCATTGTATTTCTCTAATATCCACATTAGCGATACCCAAATTGGACGTTGATTTCTGTGAATTATATATATATATATAAATGTAGCAGTTTCCTGCAAGCGATACCCCCCAAGTTTACCATATATCATCATTGTACAAACGTGTGGTAAGCGATGGGACCTTCCCAAATTTGTGGATGTCCTTTCCGTGAACCTAGGGTTTTCGAGATTGCTCAAATATGTGTATATATATACATATATAATATATATACATATAATATATATATATATATATTTATATGCATACACGCACATTCATTATACACACTAACAAGCTAAACCCACCTTTCCAGGGTATCGAAGTTCGGCCATGTCTTTATCACCAAGGTCCACGGCTTGCGGCTCCTTGGAAGGCCGGAACGCTGCACGTTTTTTCTGGTCACTTGGATGTGTATCCCAGTCTGCGGTTAACAACTACAGTATGGCTATAAGATGTTTTTGCCTTTCAAACATGGTATATAACATGACAACTGACATGATACAACCCAACTGGGATTCGCATCCAAGGAATGAACCATTTTCTTGGCTATAACGATGGGTAAATATGTCATATTTGCGGTCAGGATCACGAAAAGATTGACTGTTTTGGGGTGTCATCCAAGGGCGGCTGCCGTGTCATGCTGTCCCGGCCATTCTGCTATGCAAGGGCATCAGGTGTCATCAGTGTCAAGAACAGACTTGTTGCTCATATAAACTTACATCTCCATCTGTTGTTGCTTCCATCCCATCTTTTTAAGGCGTTTGTTGGGTATTTCCAGTTCCATCAACTGGTTGCCATTTTTCATCCGTGTTTCACCAGTCCCCTGATTGACCTTTCTTGGGGTACCATCCACGACCACCACGAGGCTCTCCGAAAAACATTTCCAAGCCGCGGAGGAAGTGTGTCGGGACTGGGCGGTCCCAAAGCTCAGTTGATGTCTTTTGGAGAAAATGCGTTTGGGGAAAGAAACGATTTGTGTCTTCCTTTGGAGGTTCTGAGTTCAAGGAAGTTTTGAGTTTCCACCTTCTAAACTTTTCGGGGCACAGATGTATAGATGTAGGCAGTAGTCATGTTCAAAGTAGATAGACATGAGACACATATCGTATAGATATACACTTTGATCTCTTCGGATGACCATGAGAAGAAAACCATGAAGAAAAACGATGCCGTTCAAAGTTATCACCATGGCCAGCTTGAGATAATCCTCCAAAGGGTCATTTAAGGTATCTTTGAACAACCCCAAGACAACACGATCCACAGTTTGAATGAGCCATCCCTGATGCTCACGACGCAGCCACTGAGGCCGTGAATGATGGCAAGGACTTCGCAACCACTTCTGGTGACGGTCGAGGAAGTGACGGTCATCTTTCCCTTGGAGGTGTCATGGCAGACCAGGGGACCATTGGCGGGTGATTTTCGTGAGGTATTGACCATCTAATTGAGGTACCCCAAGGTGGGAAATTCCAAAGAAGACAATGCGGTACCACCATTCAAGACAAACTCCTGAAGACTGAAATATGCAAGACATAGAGTGGCATTGCTAAAGAAGCTGCGTGATTGTTTGATCATGTTGATGAAGTGCTTGGCTACAATATACATTGGCTTGAGTGTGATGGTGTCCGTCACACCTTGGTACCAGTGCTTCCAGCGCTAGAACCAACCTAATTCTCTTTTTTCACCCAAGATGTCATGTTTGATAGTGAAGATGATCGATTTATACAGGTTCATGTCCCAGATCCTCCCAAAAAAGGTGGATTCATGTTGATTCCCTTTGGTAGCAGGCAATGCAAGATTCACCAGGTCCTTCATCAGTCTGAACTTGGGGATTTCCCTTCAGAGGGTATTCCTCGTGATGCCGAAAAGGTGGAGTGTCGGACGCCATGCCCTTCCTCCTGCGAGACACGTGTGATCCCCACGACAAATATTTCGCAGCAAAGGGTTGAAACGACCAACCAGCAGATTAGTCCGGGATCAATCTGCTTGAAATGTTGCTCTTGAAATCGGCCCTCATGGGCCAAACAGACCATGGTTTCAAACATCCTGCGGTTGACTTTGTATGCCCAGCGAAGCTTGGAATGTCACCTACTAGAATGATGACCCCCCAAGTCTTGCAGCGAAGTTTCCAAAGTTGGTTGGTTGTGAGCCCATTTCCCTTAATGGTCTATTCCTTTATATTGACCCCAAGAATGATCCGATCCAATACATAAGATGCCGTATGTTCCCGAGTGTTAGTTACTTAGTGTTACTTAGCTATGGAATTCCCTAGATGGACCTAGACCTCCCATTCATCCGTAGATTTACATCATCATTTTCGCACTATTGCCCGTATGGTACCACCCGAAAGGATAGAAACTATTGGAGTAAAATCCAGAATCCAGTCCTAAAATAGTGTCCGCAAAATTGAGTACCAACCAAACGAAGCTCTATTTTTTTAATGGTGTATGTGATTCTCTTTGGGGCCATAGGGCGGTTGTTTAATATTGGGGGGAGTGGTACCCAGGCTTTCCCAGAACCAGATCATCCCGAGGTAGTATGCATTACTTGAGTTGAAAACTCATGATGTTTTATGACAAAGGTGTTGTTTATGAAAGTTCCTTTCTGAACTTTCCTCCAAACCAAAACCTTTCTCTTGACTCATCTCCTTGAGTCAGAATTTATGTCAGTGCGTGATGATTTATTCATCCTTGTCAGAGTATATGTTAATATGTCAGCTAACACTCGCTCTGTGCTGTGCAAATCGAAGTGATTTATTTATTGTTTGTCCGATTGGTGTTCAGCTTTGCGAAGTGCGTTTTGTTTTACAAACGGTTTTAAACAAAAGAAAACAAAACAGTTGAACACATGTTTGGTCAAGAATCCTTCGCAACATGTTGCATGATCATGTTACATGTTTCAAGTCATAATGTCATAAGAAGAAGCGTTTTATGTCAATGGACATTTTACAAGTTCAAGTGGTGGGTGCGGTGGGTTAAGAAACCCTTTTCCCAAAAATTTTGTCGATTCAAGTGCCACCAATGTGGACCCTGCCTCAACAGAGGCTGCATCTTCCGGACATGCCGGTCCCACTGAAACTCCGGCCCCTACAACTCCTAGTGGTGCTTCTCGTCCAAACCAATGCTGTCATGGATGCGGCATTCCTCAATGCCCAGAATACTGTGACCAACCTGGTTCACACGATCGGCACAGATGCGCATATCACAGCTGGTACTGACCAGTTTCTGCTTCCCCAATGTACTTTGTCTTCACGCTGGTTCAAGCAGCGATGCAATGCGCTGGTGTTGGATGAAGTACATGATGAGTGTTTAGACTTTCATTATAATACAGCGTTGTGGCACCATCGAATGACTCTGCCTTCGTCGACACTTCATTGTCCAGTGCTGGCATTGTTGACAGCTCAGATGACTCCTGATCTGATGCACGATGTGGGAAAACGGGATAAACGAATTGTTTTTGACACTGCAGTTCGTGAACACATACAATTCTGTGAGTGCAATATGAAGTGTACTGCATATAAATATCCGTGGCAGATGTGTTTCTTTTGGGAGAACAACAGGGCGTCACTCCCATTTGGCCCAATTGGCATGCCTCCTTTGTGCAGAGCTCCAGTTTTGCAAGACGCTGCAGACTTTACAGAGCTTGACCTACAGGAAAACGTTTTTGACGTGCATTACAAACAATTGCTTTGCAGACTTCAGATTGAGTGGGATGCAATGCAGGATTCCCAGCGTAATGCTGCGCTGGCCGAACGGCATCGGATGGTCATGTCCGACCCCATGTTTTTGAGGTCTGCATATGTTATTTCAACTTGGTCATTTCTGGTCTCAACAAGGGGCGCTTGCAAGATGATCCCAAGAAAAAATTTGCATGCAAGAGCCTTCCCAGTGTTTGAGGAAGTTGTGTACTCCTTTATGCAGCACGAGGAAGATAAGGTCAGGTTGCCTTTTGTGGCGGTGACTGCGAACGGAGTTTCAAGTGAGTTTTGGAGCCACGCTTGGAAGAGCGTTCTAGCCGAAGCAGGGGTACAGGTTGGACATGGGAAACCTTTGCTGCCAGTCAGGACACCAGATGGATGGATCCGCTTCATTGGACAGCTGAAGAAGCAACCAGTTGGTTGCGTAGCCTTCGGCAGACTGGTGAGGTTCTCCAAGACTCCAGGCCGCAACTGTTTGGAACCCATTCATGCAAGTCCACTTGCCTGTCGTGGTTGGCGAAATGGGGAGGCACTCCAGACATGCGCAGGCTGATGGGCTACTATGTGGCTGACAAGATGTCTACAATGTTGACTTATGGAAAGACAACACAAGTACCGCTCTTCGTGAGATCGATGTTATTCTGGACGCCATCAAGGAGGACGAATCTGGCCTCAAGTTCGCGTGTGGCAGAGATATCACCCGCATTTACATTGCACTGCCGTCCAGACCTCAGACACCCTGCCTATCTGCAAGCAGTGTTTCAACAAGTTTAGGAAGAGCCCGTTTTGAAGCATTTGTTTGACTTGCAATGTGGTAGAATGGAACTTGAATCAGACATTTCAGAGTGTCTGCAATGCCTTGACCTGCTCGTGCCGACCTCAATTGGTGCAAGCTTCAATCAAAGACATTATGTGAAACAATGCACAGTTCAAAGGAACTTATGAACTCAAAAAACCGTGCGTCTTGAGTAAAAGATTTTGGAATCGGCAGCCTGTTTTGGAGGAAATTAGGACTGAGAGCTGGTGGTGATCTTAGCACAAGATAGACGATTCCATTAATTTTATGTTTACCCAATTCACAAGGAACTTCATACCAAACCAGCAATACTTGAGTTGAAATTCGGATAAAAAATCACAAACGTTTGCGGTACCAAAACGGAAGCTCATTTTCGCATGATTTCATGACATGTTTGCATGTGCTGGTTTGGTTTTTCGTGTTTTGGGTTTTGGCACATGAGAAACTGTCGCATGAGGAGATGAACATTAGGTTGCGTCGATGTTTGCTGTTAAGGAGGTACAGGTGTTTTGATCATGTTCGAATGGCGACTTGGGGCTGGAATCACATGATTTTGGTGATTTGCAGGCTCCAGAAACGAGTCAAAACGTTGAGACCAGCTCCATTGGACAGGCTGTTAACATGATTCATGCAAGTTGATTCATGTCATGCCAATTCACGAAACAAGTTTTGACATTGCAATGAGCCTCAGTTGACAAGTTTTGCACGATTCATGCAATTCGTTTCAATTCATTTCTGTTTTTATTTCTCGACAAGTGCCGGCGCAAGAGTTTCATGTGATGGCGTTTGCAGACAGCAAACCTTTGTTCGAAGACCGAACGGTCGCAGCTGGAATTTCAGAAGAAGTTTTTGAGAAACTTTCTGATGCAAAGCTGGACACTTTGTCGAAGTTTGCATTTGCAAGTTCGTATGTGCCTGGATCAGGAGACGATTCGGAATTTGTGAAGACTTTAAAGTCAGTCTGGTCGTGATGCCAACCTTTCTGAGTTTGCGTCGTTTCGTAAGTCGCTTCACGAAGTTTACTCCCTTGTCACCCAAGAGATGAAGCAGCAGCTTGAAAGGAGTGAAGAAGTGCACACAAGGAAACTCACCCAACCTGAACGTGCAGATTTGTATTAGAGACTGGTGAAACGTATCACAGGTCTGACTTTGAAAGGACCGCTTGAGCCAAGTGATGCGCTGGTGGATTCCTTTTGTGCAATGCATGAGGCAAACGGGATTAGATTTGTCGCTTGGGAGAAATACGCGGCCAAGGAGGCTGAGCTGGACAAAGATGTGAGAACCGAGCATTTATTTGCAGTTGACTCCAGTGGCAAGTTAAAAGTCGAGGGCAAGAAGCAAGACCCCATAGCAGATACATCAACGGAGATCATGTTGCAGTATGCCTTGCAAAGGAGAGGCTTGAGCATGGATCAGGCCAACTTGTTGAATTTCAAGATTCATCAGCTGTGGGTGGATCGTTTGATTAAAGTAAGACTTCAAACACCACCACATGGTTATGCAAAGACGTCATTTCGCCAATTGCTTGAGGCGGATAAAAAGCTGTTTGAAGAACTTGCTGATGAGATCCGCCATGGGGTCCAAGTTACAACAAGCGGAAGGCCAATTGACATGGTGTTCGAAAAGTGCATGAACAAGGCTGAGGTCATGCACCTGTTGCAGCCGCTCATGGGAAAGTCCTTTGAGCTTAAAGATGAGAAGTCATCTTCCAGTCGTGTTGCACCATACAAGCAACAGAGCCCTTCCAAAGGAAAGGGCAAGAGCAAAAGCAAGAACAAATCCTCGCCGAAGATGCCACATGTCTTGCTGAACGGTGGTTGTCGTGCAACGACGAATTCTGGTGATTCAATCTGTTATGGATTTAATCTTGGTACATGCTCCAACAAGGTGACAAATGGTCGATGTGACCGTGGGTTTCACGTGTGTGCACTCCCGAAGTGTGGCAAGCACCATGCTTTCATCAACTGCCCTTCCAAGAACCAATCCGGTTGACTATCTCCTGAAGGTGAGAGTCCGGAGCCCGGTGAACTGCAAAGTGCAGCATCGCCACAAGTTGAGAATCACGAAGGTGATGTCGGTGCATTCAAACCCGAAGTGGAGTTGAATGCAAAGCCTCCCAGATACCTGGCAGAGGCGCCTCTTCTTGTTGAAGTTTGTTGTGGGAGTGCATTGCTCAGTGCATGTGTTTCGAAGGCAGGCGTCGATACTTTGCCAATTGACTTTCAAGGCAATAAACACCGGCCTTTTGTGCATGTTGCTAATTTGGACTTGTGAAAGAAATCAACTTGGGATTTTCTGGAACACTTGGTTTTGACACGAAGACCTTTTCTCTTCCATGCTGCGCCTCCTTGCGGCACGGCATCGAGAGCGAGAGACATGCCACTCGCTGATGGGAACCACGGGCCGCCTCCACTTAGGTCTGAAGAATTTCCCATGGGGTTTCCATGGATCACTGGCGTTCTTAGAGACAAACTGGATTCTGCAAATGCGATTTACATCTTTCTTGCTGCCTTTTGCTTCTGGTTAAGCACTCTGGACGTCGGATGGAGCATCGAGAATCCTGGCAGAAGCTACTTGTGGAACATTGAAGACTGCCAAATGCTCATTGCAGCTGCATACTTTGTACTTTTTCATTCTTGTTCGCGGCAGTGAAAGGAAGAAACTTACAGCCTTGTTGACGAACAGGAGGGCATTTGAATCGCTTGCTGGATATTGCCAGGACGATCATGATCACCTCCCATGGTCGCACACTAACGAAGATGGCAAAGTTGTTTTTGACACGAGCAAAGAAGCTGCATATCCAAAGTTGTTTTGCGAAAGGTTTGCAAGTATTCTGGCAGATGGTGCAGGTGTTCCTGATAGTCATTTGAATCAGGAACTTCACTCCAATTCAGTCAACGTGGATGCAAGAGTGGCAACTAACAAGCAGCCGCGGGGTCGGAAACTACCACCGCTTTTGTCTGAATTTGATAACGTGAAGACGGTACGCTCGTTGTCTGCAGACGAGCCAGCCCTTTCAGACAAACGAACACTGACACAACCATACCATGGTATTCCTGTAGGAAGCAAATTACTTCGATGGGCTAAAGCGAAAAGGGGGACAAGCTGGTGAGGACAATGCTGTTATTCAAATTTTTGGAATATACAGATCTATTCCGCAGTTTACTCAATTGGCAAGAACTGTTATTCATCCTTTGATTCGTTTCGTGCCGTCCCTGATTATTTGCTGACAGTGGTCTGCAATGTGTTGAGTCGTTCCCCTCTGGAGACTATGAAGAGAAGACTAGAGAAACTCAAAGTTGGAGAGGCCTCGCAGATGAGCTTGCTGGCAAGAACCAAGAAATTTTCGACAGCATGAATCCGGGTTCGAAGGGCAAGCACTGGGCCTTGTTGGGAAGACTTGCAGTGCAGGTTGACTGGCCAGATAAGCACATTCACCAAGATGTTCGAGATGGATTCAAGTTAACGGGATTACAAAATCCTTCTGGAATTTTTGCTGCTGATATCAAGCCGAGATCACTTACAGAAGAAGATCTGGTGAAACAACTTAAGTTCCTGCAGCCTGCGTTGTGGGGCAAGGTTCAATCCAGCCCCAGTGCAGAATATGACCAAGATCTTTGGGACATGACCATGCAAGAGCTCACTGACAAAGGCGGGTCTTGAGCTCGACATTCCCTGGACGAATTATTACGACGACTTTCCTGTTGTCGACTTTAAAATTTTGTCGGAGCATACCGGAGCAGCTGCGAGAGCACTTGCCTCCATGTTGGGTTTTGAATACTCACTGGACAAGGAGCTCCCCTTTTGACAGGAGTGCGGAGATGTTGGGTGTTGTTTTGGATTTGAGTGAATCTACGAAAGGTGTTGTGAAGGTCTCCAACAAGCCCAGCAGGATGTCAGAGCTCAAGGATGTTTTGTCTTGCATTGTGAAGTCTGGAAAAGTACCTACAAAGAATTCGGCATCTGTTTTTGGACGTGCGCTTTTTGTTGAGAGCCAGTTCATGGGTAAGGCAGGCAGGCTTGCCCTCGCAGAACTCGGGTCCATGGAAAAGGTTGACAAGCGTTTTGTTACGTTGTCAGAAGTGCAGCTGGGTGCCATGCATAACCTTTTAGACAGGTACAAAAAAAAAACCGGCATCCCTAGGTCCCTTAAGATGGAAAGGACGCAACTTCCATGTGTAGTTTTCACGGGTGGTGCATGTGAACCTGGCTCTGGCGACCAAGTTGTTTGCACCGTTGGCGGAGTCATTTTCGACCCCAATGATGGAGGTGTGATTGAGGCGTTTGGTTCTCACGTTTCAGAAAGTGTTGTGGATTCTTGGAAGAGCGCTTCAAAGGTCCATCCAGTTGCTCAGACAGAGATGTATGCAGAGTGCGTCGCAAGGCATTTGTGGCGCAGTCGTCTGGACGGAAGAAGGTGTCTCTCTTTTCATAGATAACCAAGGTGACCTTGATGCTTTGATCAAGGGATATAGCAACGAAGAGACCATGAAAGCACTTTTGGTAGTTCTTGAAAATTGGATTCCAAAGGTCCATGTCTGCCTTGGTACTGCAGAGTACCCTCTCCCTGCAATGTTGCTGATCTGCCGTCGCGTGGAAAGTGGAAAGAATTGTTTGCGTTGTTTCCAGAGTGCAGAGAAGTTTCGGCATTCTGTCCGTTCAGTTCCAGAAAGCTTCAGAAGATAGAGCAGTCCAAAAAAAACAAACGAAAGAAGTGCATAGCTGAAGAAAATGGGGTACGAGCGGAGAAAAATTTGCGAAGCAAAGTGCTTCATTTGTTTGGAATGGAATTTCGATTTGCGATACTTCGAAGAAGGAATCCAAAAGAGACAAAGGACATCAAGGAGAGTCCGTTTTATTTCATTCCGTTTGAAGTGATCCGAAATCCCCATGTTTCAGCTTTGCGCTGCAAAAAGGTTTCAGCCGTGTGATTCTTGTGCATTCATTCAGTGATGTCCATATATATATATATGTATATATATATGTTTATTATCGCGAGCTATTCTTACCGTGGCGATAGCCTCACGTGAGTTTTTAGATTTGTAAGTGCGTAAATAACCCGTCGCTATATGGCGTAAGTTTGAGTTTTTGGTTTGGTTTCAACTCCGTGTCATAAGCATTACTTGAGTTGAAAACTCATGATGTTTTATGACAAAGGTGTTGTTTATGAAAGTTCCTTTCTGAACTTTCCTCCAAACCAAAACCTTTCTCTTGACTCATCTCCTTGAGTCAGAATTTATGTCAGTGCGTGATGATTTATTCATCCTTGTCAGAGTATATGTTAATATGTCAGCTAACACTCGCTCTGTGCTGTGCAAATCGAAGTGATTTATTTATTGTTTGTCCGATTGGTGTTCAGCTTTGCGAAGTGCGTTTTGTTTTACAAACGGTTTTAAACAAAAGAAAACAAAACAGTTGAACACATGTTTGGTCAAGAATCCTTCGCAACATGTTGCATGATCATGTTACATGTTTCAAGTCATAATGTCATAAGAAGAAGCGTTTTATGTCAATGGACATTTTACAAGTTCAAGTGGTGGGTGCGGTGGGTTAAGAAACCCTTTTCCCAAAAATTTTGTACCCACCCTCCCTTTTTCCCCAAAATTTTCGGGGGGGTACGAGCGGAGAAAAATTTGCGAAGCAAAGTGCTTCATTTGTTTGGAATGGAATTTCGATTTGCGATACTTCGAAGAAGGAATCCAAAAGAGACAAAGGACATCAAGGAGAGTCCGTTTTATTTCATTCCGTTTGAAGTGATCCGAAATCCCCATGTTTCAGCTTTGCGCTGCAAAAAAGGTTTCAGCCGTGTGATTCTTGTGCATTCATTCAGTGATGTCCATATATATATATATGTATATATATATATGTTTATTATCGCGAGCTATTCTTACCGTGGCGATAGCCTCACGTGAGTTTTTAGATTTGTAAGTGCGTAAATAACCCGTCGCTATATGGCGTAAGTTTGAGTTTTTGGTTTGGTTTCAACTCCGTGTCATAAGATGTTGGCAATTTTTTTTCTACAATGGGCCCCCCCCAAAAAGAATCCATTGATATCTCCATTTCGGGATGGTCAACCTTCGGTCAAGCGGAGCAAGGCCTCACCTCTGTGTGCTCTGGAAACCGCCTGGCTGGACGGTGCCTGGACCAAGGGATTGGCTGAAGGGAAAACATCTGTCTATCTATCTATCTATCTATCTATATTATTTATATGTATGTATATATATATATATTATTTTTGGTCTTTGGATGGGAAACATATAGCAAAAACCGAGAACTCTTTTTTTTTTTTCTCGGGCGGGTCTTTGGATGAAGTCTCGAAACGTTTTGATGGTTCTTTTGGATGATTTTTTGGCCGTAAGAAACTGCCGGGGGAAACACCAGGTCATGGATGCTTGGGTATGGCGCTGCATGCGCTGCATGATCACTTTTGATGGTAGTTGATCTGGATGACTCAAAAGATATTCAAACCCAGTGATCCGCTGGGTGGTTAAACGTTAAACCTCCGACCATGCATGTGAGTTTGGTTTGACCATCTGCCTTCAGAGGTTTCTGTTTCACACAGCAGCATGGCCGAAGCTCATGCCGCTGATGTACCAGGTGTGCAAGGCTGCCGACAGGTATATCGATTCAAGATGATTCAAGAATAAATGCTTGTGTGCATGAGCAGTGAGAATGTACGCATACACTTGCAATCATTTATAAAACATATGTGGTACAGATAATCCCATCCCCCGAATATTCAACAACCCTTGTGTAAATCCCACTCAACCGTGGTTTCTGAGGTGTTTTTAATATTAGGGGGATGGGATTCTTTGGTCTATTCGCCAAGCATCGCGAATCCTGGGAGTCCAGTCAGTAGCCTCGAATGAAACATGGCTAGCTCACCTGGATGGCTGTGGTATGAGATAGGTTGAGATACAAACAAAACGCATGACTAACTGGTTGGTGGTTTGGAACATGAATTTTATTTTTCCATATTTTGGGAATAATACTCCCAACTGACTCTTATTTTTCGGAGGGGTTGAAAAACCACCAACCAGATAAACGTGTGTAAACCCGGAAAGGATCTTCCCAGGCCCAGTACGCAGTGGATCCGTCTGCTGACTGCTCTCTACCCGGATCCAGGTGGCCGTGCTCCAAGGCTGCAGGATGGGCACCACAGCTGGTTACTTTCAAACATTTTCCCTTGGAACTACTCGGAGATCCCGACTGACGGAGTGAAACCACTCTCTAGAAGCATTTTTTTCAGTTAAATCAGCAAGGTGGTGCAAAGATATTTGCCGCAGACGGTCCTCCCATCTGCCACCCGTTTCGATTTGATTTGCATTTTTTTTGGGATAAAACCATGTAGTTCCAGCTCTGAAGCATTGTTCCAACACTCAGACGTAGCAGAAAAAACGCTCATCGTTTCCGAGCAGGACTGGATCAAGAAAACACTGGGTGTCGACCACTCCATCGCCTGGGGGCCTAAAAAGTTGGGTCAGATTCTATCACTGTCAGGCTGCGATCAGCCCAAGACTGATCTCAAAATCAGAAAGGCAGGCCCCTTAGAAGTCCCAATAGCTTCCAGAATTTCATAAATGACACAGATCAGTTTTCCATGTGTTTTCAATCTGGTTATATCCACATCTCATCCATCCAATTTCTCAAACTGGGGGTGCCCCAAAACCAGCCCAAAGTCAAGGCTTAAAACGTTTCAGGTGCCCCAGCAAGATGACCGTTCACGATGTTAGGCACTGGACCCATCGGCAGCTTATGGCCTCTTACATCGCCTGGTGCCTTTGCCTAGTCTGAGCTGAGTTTTTTTCATTCGGCTCAGTTGCATGATCCATTTCCTACCAGAGGAGCCATCTGAAAGGGTGAAATTAGTTTTTCTTTATGTAGGTCTGGCTGGTGGCTGGTGGTTTCAAATATTTTTTTTTGCAACCATACTTGCAATGAGGTTGTTGAGACGATGAGCATATTCTTGGGATGGGTAACAACCATCAACCATCAACTATCAACCACTGGTGATTTTCCGGCTTGCCATTCCGATGCCCTTAGACCTGGCTTCGCAGCTGTTCTTGGCACAGGAACATCCCTAAGCCGATGGCTATGAGTCATACAACCTATCTACTGGATACCAAACCCATCCACCAAAATGGCCTCCAGGATCTAATGGCACTAGATCAAAGCCAGAATTTTAACCCCCCCGGGTAAATAAGAACAACACATTATTTAAAAACATCACCAGCCTGACACATGATTTTTGTTGATCTATAAGATGTTAGAGGAATCATGAGAGAGTTTTATCCACAAAAATCGTTGAACAACAACAACATGAAGAAACTGCAGAATTTCAGCAATTTTTTTGGTAAAGATGCGTCGACCCCTGGCCGCTGGCGCCGCTGGCGCCTTGGGTGCCCTTGGATTAGCAGTCCTCCTGTTGCGACGTCCGGGCACCAGGTCCACCTGTGGATGGGCCGAAAGAGTTTTAAGATGATACCGATGATACCCTAAAGATCCTAAAGCAACCCCCAAAAAGATAGCAAGGTGATTCACAGTTTTAGTATGGACTGTTTCTATCCTTTTTGGGTTGCTATGTAATTTTGGGGGTCAATTCCTAACCATATCTTGATCCACATCCATAGATTTTTGATGATTTTTGTGTCCCTAGAGCGCCAGGGGTTTGACCCCGTTTGATGGTAAAGAATGCCAGCCGGCCCGAGGCTACAAGCGACAGCACCGCGAGACGCGTCGTGAGATTGAAAAGGCCACAGCGGCGACGGATGCGACGGTAAGACCCATCGAGGCGATACTGGGGGTGGGGCAGAATGTGGGTATGGATCAATACCTATTAATACCATTTTTAGGGGGATGAACATCCATTTACCAGCTATTTTGATGTTCACCAGGGGTACAAGGTTTTGACACACTGCCATGTGATGCTGGAAATATGGTTTATTTGGATTTTTTTGGAGGTATGGTAATGGGAAAATATAGGAAAATATTGAGAAGATCAGGCGTTCAACCATTTTTAACCATGAGATTTTGCGGGACCCGATTTGGAAGACAAAGCTGCACGTGAAAACGGGAAGTTTGGGAGGCACATGCAGGCTCCCAAAAAATTGAAAAGCAAATTATCAAAGGAAGTTGGGAAGCAATCTTCCGAGTTGCGGATGACTTTTATTCAAATGACTTTACATCACATAACAATACATCACATAACAATATATGACGAAGGGTGATGACGAAGGGTGATGACGAAGGGTGATGACGAAGGGTGATGACGAAGGATGGTGAGGTGGTGACTAATGGAAGTGATGACCCTGGGGCAATGGTGACCTAGGGAAGCCTCTGTGTTCTGCAACGAGTGGTTGTTCATTTGTGCGTAGATCTATGCGCTTGTTGAATCTCTGGTTGCGGATCGCAGTGTAATGGCTGCATGGTTGTTGCCATGTTCTTTTGCCATGTGCGTAGAGAGATGCGGGTTAGCCATGTGGTGCTGCAAAACACATTGTAATGGCTGCATGGCTGTTGCATGGGGTTACCGGGGAGGAAGCCAGAGCACGAAACCTGGTTTTCCCGTGTAAAGTGGCCGCAGGCGGCGAAGAAGGGTACCCTGTGTGTGTGTGTGTGGGGGTTGCGGTCGTTCCGAGCGTAATTGGTTCCTCCTCTGTGTTCTGCAACGAGTGGTTGTTTATGTGCGCGTAGTTCTATGCCATGCGCTTGTTGAATCTCTGGTTGCGGATCGCAGTGTAATGGCTGCATGGTTGTTGCCATGTTCGGTTGCCATGTGCGTAGAGAGATGCGGGTTAGCCACGTGATGCTGCAAAAGGCATTGTAATGTGCATGACTGTTGCATCGGGGTTGGTTTTGGGGAGGAAGCCGGGGCACGAAACCTGGTTTTCCCGTGTAAAGTGGCCGCAGGCAGCGATGAAGGGTGCGGCGGTTGCGGTCGTTCCGAGCGTAATTGGTTCCTCCTCTGTGTTCTGCAACGAGTGGTTGTTTATATATGTGCGCGTAGTTCTATGCCATGCGCTTGTTGAATCTCTGGTTGCGGATCGCAGTGTAATGGCTGCATGGTTGTTGCCATGTTCGGTTGCCATGTGCGTAGAGAGATGCGGGTTAGCCACGTGATGCTGCAAAACGCGTTGTAATGGCTGCATGACTGTTGCATGGGGTTTGTTTTGGGGAGGAAGCCGGAGCACGAAACCTTGTGTTTTTCCGCGTGAAGCGGCTGCAGGCGGCGACCTTGTGTGAGAAGCTTTCTGCGCCCAATGGTTTTGTTGCGCAAGAGACCTCTCTCTGACAGTAAGAGCTTTCTGGCGTGCAGAGCAGTTGAGAGGAGTTAAGAAGAACAAGGAGATGAGAAAGGTTGATCAGTGCTCGGATGAGATGAAAACAGTTGAGAAGAATTTACTTAGATGACATGTGAGAAGAGATGGGATGAGATGTGAAGAGCTGAGAGGTGAGATAAGGTGAGAAGAGCTCACCTGATTTGAGATTGGCCGAAGTGTGGGGTGTGAAGTGCAAGTGTGAAGTGAAGTGTGAAGTGCGGGGTGTGAAGAGCGCAGTGTGAAGTGTGAAGAAGGTGTTCGCTTGGCGTTGCAGGGGTCGCGCGCAGGTCATGTTCTTGGACAACAACAGTGCAACAGGTTCGCACAAAGCACCCACGCACGGGCCTGGCTGGCGCACGGCGCATGCAAGTTCTATAGATGGGAAAGGTCTTATGGTTATAACCCTAAGGCAATTTCCGCCCCGCCTCGTGCGGGCACTGCCCGTATTTATTTTTTCAATAACCCATTGTTTCCAAAGACGTGGCCCAAGGGTTATGTGAATGTATGTGATTCTTGCATCCAACCAGTGTCGCACAAGCACCCAAATTTTAGTTTGGTTTCGCCATATGTTGTTTCCCTGTTCTTGCAAAGATTACTCAAACACTATTAATGTGGTTAGAATAACAATAATAAACCACCCATTTGGGAATGGTTTATACCACCCATTTATGGTGGTTTTGGGGATTGTTTATTAATTGTGTTTTAACCGCATTAGACAATAATTTAAACGACCAAGTTTGTGGATCTTGGTGTGGTCCGCGGGCTCCATTGCTGTATATTTGTTTTGCAATAGGATTCCAACAAGGTTAAACCGTGTCGCGGAATGGTAGGGATTTACTCTTATTCTATCTTTGAGGAACGTAGGACCCCTATTGTATGATGCGACAATCTTGATCAAATCACGTTTGGCAAGCCGTCCCCATTGTCTCTGACGCTCATGATGTCCAGGGCAGAAGTAAATCAGCACCATTACTTCCATCCCATTCAAGCCTTTTCCCTGATTTGAAGTGTTTGACATTTTCTTCAACCCCATCTCAGCCACTCAAAACAAACATTGAATCCGTTTCTACTTCAAAAAAATCTGAGTTTTTTTTTTCCCCCATCATTTCCCTATCCTCGCAGCCGGCAGCTCTCAATTGCCTGATCCCAGGCCCCCGACGAGAAGGCTGAGAAAACGGCCGCAGCCGTCGCTGCAACGACGAGTTCGCCCAGCAAGCTCCCAGTTGCCTGGCGACATTGAAAATGATGCCCAGGGAAAACAACTATAGCAACCACCAAAAAGATACAACAGTAGATCATCACTATTTTAGGTTCGGACTTTACTGTTCACTCATTTTTAGGGATTACTATATCCAAGACATTCTGAAACCACCCATTTTGAAACCATATGAAACCCTGGTATCGATGGTAGAGGTGAATCTGCTGCAAGAAAGGCCGGAGAGGTTCAATCCCAACATGCCACGCAATGGCGCACCAATGATTCGTTGCTGATTTCATGTGGGGCGATGACCCCCCATGACTTTCATATTCTTTGGCTGTCTCAACCACCCCTTCCAGACTTGGTGGGAAAATTTGCAGAGTTTACATCTTTCATGGGAAAAATCATGGTTTCCTGTAGGTTTCCTGTAGGTTTCCTGTAGGTTTCCTTGGACAACACACCCCAATGATCCAACCAGATGCCATTCTTGGCTGCTAGACTGCTAGAGGCCTCTTGGGCGGCACAGGCAGTTCAGGCGGCATGGAGACTCAGAAAATTGGTGCAGCTGTGACTGGAGAGGGCGAGAGTGATTGGTGTAGCAGGATTTTTGCTCATGGATGCTCATGAAGTTTTTTTCATGGATTTTTGGATGGATTTTCCAGCTTCCGGTTGAAGCTGTGCAGGTAGGTGAGTGCCTTCCCGAAAACAGCCATGGTTGAAGGTCCGTGGTCACAACACTAACTTTGGTACCTCAAAACACCCGTGGAATTTTGGCTCAGTCAACCTCTACAGGTTGCAAACTCTTGTAAGCCATGTGTGTTTTTTTGAAGCGGCCGATCCCGAGACATTGGGTTGGAACCACGGGCATATCATGTTCCATCATGAGACGATTGGTGCCACCCTTCCCTGGATAAAATGCCCTTTTTGTGGCTGGTTAAAACCGCAACTTTGGTTGATAAGAAGATTTTTGTTGCCAAAACTAGTTTGGCCAAATATCATAAGGTAACTTTATGTAACTTTGGTATTGCAACGTCACTTTTTGTTCCAAGAAAATACGTGAACATCCATGATAAACATGCATAAACATGGACCCCTATGAGAATCCCTGAAAACAAAACCAACCAATTCCAACCAACATGCCACCTAGGCCAAAGATGCCATGGCCAGCAGGGGAGAGAAGACCAACGAGGCATTGGATCTCGTGGGAGTTTCGGGCAACACTTGCAGCTATTTTCACAATTTCACACATCAGAAGTTAAACACATTCTGATATTCTAACATGAAGTTGATATATATTTTTCTCTGGTTGTTTTGTTAAAGCATTTCCTTTTTTTTTTAAAAAAAAACTATTTTTTTAACATCCTATCGCTACTTGTGATGCTTGGGCCCCTTCTGCGGCCGCAGGATGGCAACAACGGCGGTACCGCTGCCGTGATGCAGTTGACACCGTGCGGTGGCCAAGGGTTTGCCAGGGAAGCCCATAAAAGTTACATGTTTTACCTATTGAGAATGTGAATTATGTTAACTTGCCAGAGTGTATATGCTTGAAATTTTTTAGGTTCTTTTGCCCGGGGAGATATGTATATATATATAGTTACATATATATATAAATATCTGTGTGTATACATTTCGTATCTAGATATATACTTACCATATTTTTCCTGAAAAATTGGCAAGGTATCTCAGATTAGCCATGTGTTGGCGAGAAACTTTTGAGATGGGAAGTGTTGCCTGGCACAGGCCAGCTGCAGCTACAGTTACAGGCAGGGAGTACAGTCTGCAGCCGGCCAACATCGGTGGATCATGGTACAGATCGTAAATGGTTAGTAACCATACTTACAACCCAGTTGTAAATGGGATAATCCCACGAATCGGGCACTTATCTTCTAGAAAAAACAGGGTTAGCACCCAGTTGCGATCCGTGGGACGGTCCAAGTAGACACGGAAGACACTTTTTGACACTTTTTGAGATTCCATCACGACTTCTTTGATCAGCCTCCTGGTTTTCCAAGGTTTTCCATTCCCAAACCTCGATCCACCATGCTGCTTTTATCCTTCCATGGCCACCGCGACAGCTGTGGTTCAAAGTCTCGGCGCCATGGTGTTCCTTTCAGACTATTTAGGCGTGGATGGCTTGCTGGACACCTTGTCCTACACCAATGCTGCTGGGTTGATCTTAAGAACTGATGGGATGCTGTGCCAAGAACCAGTTATTGAGGATGTGATTGAGGGCCATTGAACCCAACCAATCCCGAAACCAAGTCCAACAAAGTCCAACAAACAACTCTTTCAAGAGGGCAAGACACTAAGAAATCCTAGGGAACCAAGCCATACACAATTTAAACATCCCCATCACTTGCAGCACCGCATAACAGTGACATCATCACGTCAAGTCATTCAACCATACCCTTGGGCTCCCTTTCCCAAGAAATCGCCATGGTATTTTCATCGGGTAATTCCACATGCATCCACCTGCATGGCATCTACATAAAGATGGTATTCCTATCTTTAAATCAGCACATTCCTATGCCAAGTTTCCATGATTTTCCAATTTCTTTTGCCATGTTCAAAAAACCTATGCCACCCTCCCCATCTTTAAGAATAGCAATAAGTAATAAGAGCAATAATTATTATAAGATATTATAATTATAGATTTTCACAACGTCGACATCAACAATCGTAATGCACAAGTATAACAATATCTGTGATAATAATACTAGTAACAATTAATAGTAGTAATGCATTTTTCCACTAGCGATATCATTATATTGAATCCCATGATCAGTATTACCGCCAATATAATCATCACTGAATCCAATTCAAATATTCCGATGATTCAGTATATATAATCATTATTGGATGATTATTTACCCTCTGGTAATTTACCATAGCTATGGAAAATCACCATGCTATTAATGGGTAAATCAACTATTTCTATGGACCATTTTCAATAGCGAACTGTTAGTCATTACCAGAGGGTATATCCCATTAATCATCATGAATCACCAATAAATCATTTGGTTAACCACCATTATAAATAACCACTATATTAAATTCCATTCAATCCCCAATGTTTGATGATTTTACGAGAGAAGAATCACCACCTCCCCGGACTCCTTACGGGGTCCACGGGCCCCTGAGTCAAAAGGCCGTGACCTTGGCGCGCATCGCTTGCACCAGCTGCATGGGAGCCGTGGCGGCCCACGAGGTATGGCTGGAGGGTTCGACGGGTTCCACGTGAAAGTTGGATGGCCATTGAACGATGAAAATCTGATCTGGGAGACATAGGAACTTGAAAATTTCATTAAATGAAAAATGGGGAAACATAGGAACTTGAGAAAAAATTGATGGTTCACCCATGGATGGACGGGATATGTTGTCGTTTTCTTGGGCACAGCCGGAGTGGCCGCACTTGTTCAGGTTCGTGAATTTCAAGAGGGATGGGAAAATAAGCTCTGGCATTTGGAAGTTTTTTTAGTGTTCTTTCGCTGACTTTCCGGGAGTGACGCATTGATGCTGGCAGAGTTTTTGTTGCAAGGGATGTGCATTGCAACCCTTCGATTGTGGATGCAACAATTGGTTGGTTTCAACGATGTCAACCACCATTTTCAATGCTGTAAAAAGCACCATTTTTCCTGCCTAATGAAACTACATTTTTCATGGGTGAAACATGGTGAAAGCACCATTTCTTGGCGGCCCTGGAGCCTGGCTCCAGGCGCAGCAGCGGCCTGCACTCTGTGTGGTCAAGGCCTTGAAGTTCGTTGGAACCAGGATACTGGGGGATGAACACAAGGGTTTTGACCGTTAATCATTAGCTTTGAAAGGGATTATCAAGTATGGAACCCATGGATTATCTATGAAATGGATTGTCAAGGTTGACATTATGAAATGGATTCTCAAGCATGGAAAAACCATAAGGATACCATACTTGATCCACACCATCCATATTTACTGAGGTTTAATGGATATAACGTGATATATATATAATATAACCAACTGTGAGATGGATCGTCATAATGAGGGATTAAAGCAACGATAGAATGATCAACGTTTGATCTAGGGATATATATAATGGTTGATATGTCCAAAGATAGACAGCATCTGACAATACAAAGGGGGATATAAAGTGATCAACTTCTATACGATTCTATACGGATAAAACCAGGCATACGTGGATCGGGATAATAAAAATAATAAAAGAAAAACACAATTTGGATACTCTTTGGTAATCAAGCATGGCAATTGAAAATCCAGTGTGAATGTGGTTTTAAAGGGGATATCATCTATAAATGGGGATTTTCCCTTTGCCGTGCTTGACTACCAACGTGTATTTTAGTATATGGTTACATAGCTCATCCTACTTCGAGCAAATTGGTCGAAGGTTCCGATGTACCATTAGCGAATGTGGATAAGACAATGGATGATATACTGAAGGATCAGCTTTTATGTGTTTTTGGGAGCCTGATCATAATGCAGCACTAGCTGAGCGTGCATCCTCAGGCTTTAGCCTAGATTTGCTAACGAGTTGACGGCTCTTGCTAATGAGCCTTGCCTTTCAGGCGATTTGGCTTTTGAAATTTCCACACCTGACCGGGTGAAATTGACCTCTGGTCCGATACTGGATAAGTTTCTTCATGCTCCATGGGAGAGTTCCGTCGGCAAACTTTTCCGTGGTGATTTTTTTTTGGAAAGTCCTAAAGCAAATGGGCCAAGAATGCCATCGTCAACTCCCCAAAAGTGCTGTTGCAGCCATACCCATAGGATCCATGTATGGTATATATATGCTAACATTTGGGGTATATTGATGGTAAATGTTACCATATATAGCATACATGGATCCTATGGGATATATGTTGCCATGTTCTTTTCCATTCCTCATGCTTTTCCTAAACAGAAAAAAATCACCCCAGTCATTGGTCATTTGAAACTCTGCCTTCCCTGGTACTGCAAGGGCCAAAACCGACATTCAGGTTAAACTGGGTCAAAAACATCCACTAGAAACATCATCATTTTCCATGAACTTGCAATTTTATGGCTACATATTGGATAATGATTCCATGTTTGATCGTGATATCACACGTTCTTTGAGCGTTGAAAACTACTCTAGGGTCCCCGCGAGCTGCAGGGGAACCTCGAGACGGTGAAGGCTGAGCTGCGCGAGCAGCTGGCGGCCAAACCCACGGTGGTCTTCGTGCAATACTCCTTGGGACACAATGAGGATGAGGAGCTCCCGAGTCCAGGGAACAACTTGGGGATGACTTGAAGATCTTGAAGTTTGAAACCTATTGAAGGGTGAAACAATGTGAAATTTACGACTGGAGTTTTTTGTTTGTTTTGGGGTTGAACGTGGTTGAACATGGCTAAAGCATGCTACAACAACAAAAAGGACACCTTCTGTGGTTCGTTGTTTTGTATCAGAAGTCAGTGGAAGTAGTTTGGGCACCGATTTTGCTAAGGAAGGGTGACGCTGATTCTCTCGGTTTAAAGACAATGCCAAAACTGCCTTTGAGACAAGATCGCGACAGACATGTCTTTCTACACGTACTCCCACCAGCTGTATAATGGCAACCACGAGGCCCTAGGCCGACGCAAAGAAGAAATGAAAAAGGACGTCTTTGACCAGGTTGTGTCATGTTGTTTCAGCATTCCACCAGCCCAACAACATCCACAACCCACCACTCCTAACATGCCCACTGCTGCTGTTGTATGCCATCCCTTCTTTCCCTGTTTGGTGCCGTGTCTTCCAGGTCCAGGTTCATATGTCATACCCTCTGGTAAACTGTCCCATAACTATGGAAAATCACAATTTTCAATGGGAAAATCCACTATAAATGGTGATTTTCAATAGCTATGTTAAATTACCAGAGGGTAGTTTTCTGGCCTGTGCGGATTGACTCGCACGCTCCTCTTTTTTTTTTTAAGGGCCCTTGTGACTGCAGATTGGGCATGTTTCAGAGGTATAAAAAAACAGATCTCGTGGACAGCTCCAGGGACTTTCTTTTGGGACCTTCTGTTGCCAGATTCTTGGGATGATCGACGACTTCGGGGGTTTCAAACATGGCTGGATTATTTTCCCACAATATATGGGATGTCATCCTGACAACATTGACGAACTCATATTTTTCAAGATGGTCAAAAACCACCAACCAGTAATCATTGATAAACCATATTATTCAAGATCATTAACCATATAATAACCATATAATAACCATATATTAACCAGTTAAAACCACCAAGCAGTATTCTATTTGGGGGGCAAAGTTCACATCAGTCACATCCATAAATCCTGCGGATTCCAGGACGAATTTGAAGCCGAACTCGCCAACTTTATGGACCAAAAGCTGCCACCAAGCACCCAGGCACGCCCAGGTGGTTTATGGCCATATGGTTGGGGATATGCCATATGTAGTTATATGGCTAGTATATCATGATAGTTGCTTAGTTTTAATGTAATAGAATATATAAAATCATAACTGTTCAGGTACTAACTGCTAACTGGGATGAGCCCCTAAGTAACTTAAAGTAGATCCACACAGGCATTTGTGGGATGTTTGGCTTCATTTGCCACTAGACGCCACAACAGCTCAGAATCTAGATCTAGATTTTTGGCAACAAATCCTCGAAAGCACGAAAGACGGCTCCTGGAGGACTACCTTGAGTTTTACTTTACGGAGCAAATGGGAGGCTCCTAGCCCAAACATTGATCCCAGAAAGTGGCACTGACGTGTCGTCATCATCATCATCATCAGCATCATCAGCATCAGTTGGTATGACATGCCACCAAAGCTCTTTAAGTTTCAGCCTCCATTTACCTTTCAGGTTCCCCAGTGAGACGTTCCGGTGGGATCCGGGTGCCCGGTCCATGGCAGCCTCAGGTGTTGGGTGGCAGTACCATGTCACTTCAATGCGCCTGGTTCCCCAAAAATGCAGCCAACAGCAAGGGCGTTGCACGCCAGACTACGCGGGGATGCCCGGAGCTGTTTGCTGGTAGATTGGGGAGGCTGGGGAGGTGATGGTCACCATGATGGGCGCTGATGCCATTTTAAGGATTTTCTAGAAAAGTGGGTTTATAATCACTGAGAATCCCATTTCATCAGTAGATGAAGTTGGTTCGGGACATTTTTTGTTCCATCTATAAATCAGTTATTGGTATAGGCCCATCATTGTACCACAGCCAGGTCAAACCTCTCGGGGCTTCCGTCGGATTGCTTTTTGGGGAGCCGTACCTCCCAGGTTCAAACCTGGCCCATTCATATCAACTGTGACTTCTCCAAATCATTCCAAATGATTCCAAATAGATCCAAACCATTCCGGATCATTCCGATTCATTCCAAATCATTTCAAATCACATCTTCCACTTACCTCACCACTCAAGCAGGCCGCCCTTTCCGGCGAGGTTAGATTGTCGCAACCGCTTCGAGCGATGCGAAGTGGCTCTCCTGGCAGCGACGTTTCCCGAGGCCAAGGCCAGGGCCTATCACGTGATGCCCAAAGGCGCTGCCAAAAACAACACCTCCGAAAGCGACGAGGAGGAGCCCTGCAGCTGACCATTTTGATAGTTACTTGGGGGTTTTTAGGCATCGTAAATGGTGGCTTTATAACCCATATATAGTGAACATAACCTTCTGATATTTCCATCATCTACTAGGGCAATTACCCATTGAGCGGGATGCACATCCAAGTGGGAAACAATATAGCAATGTGGTAAAACCCAAAACCACAAACCATCATACACCAATTTGACACATGGCTTGAAACCCTCCAAAATTGAAGCTTTATGATTGGGTCTACCACATCATTACTGTACTGGGTTAAGGTTTTTAAGAGAGGAATTGCAGGAAAGAATGGCAGCATGGTCTTTGACATTAAATTCAGGGTTTTGCTGTAGGCTTTCACTTAAGACCACTTCTGAGATAGTTCTCGAAAAAGATAGGAGAGTCATTTGCGACTATCTTAGTGGGATGTTTCCCGTTTGGCCCCTTTTTCTTTTGGTTGCTATAGTTAGCACCCCGACAACCTCACACAGAATGATGATTGGTAAGGGAAACAAACCGATTTACGTTTTCTTTCGGAAAGACGAGACAGGGCAATTTGCCCGGAGAATTTGTTGTGGTGGGTGAACCAACAGGGAGAATGATGTTGGCATGGCAGCCCCGGATGGGTTCTTTCCATGGTCTTGCAGTACTCGTACTCTGACATGGAAGATGAAGATGAGGAAAATCTGCTCCCGGATGAGACTCAGGATGGCCCGACTTGGGTCATGGCAGGGGTGGGGATGGACGGTCCTAGAGACGATTTTTTTCGGCTTTTGCTATGCGACTGGGCACGTTTCATGTAGGTTGCCGCAGCGATGTCAGTGCAAGCCTCAGATTGGCCAGGCAAAGGGAGGTTACGGCCAAACGACGAAAGGAGGTGCCATCGGGCTGTTATTTTTTGTAGAGCCTGGACTTTGGTCATTGTGGATTATCTTGGATCATGGGTTATCTATGGATTCTGTTGGGTCTTTGGGAATATCATTTGATAATTGGATTCCTGGTGATTCTGCATTTCTTTGATTGACTCTATGGGGTAGAAGGTGCCGTTTCTTGGAACCCAAGTAGCCTCAGAGTTGCTGGGTAGATGGGTGCAGATGAGCGGATCTTCGGCTGGGTTTCAAACTAAACAAATTTGATCGGTCTGAATGTGGGGCAGCGGCCTACTGGTATGCCAATAATTAATTTCCAACTTTACTAGGGACATCTAGGGATAATGATGATGATTAGCCAGTGGATTTAGGGGTGATATATTTCCAGACAAACCCAGTTGTTTTCCAACTTTACTTCAGGGCAACCAGTGGAATTCCACCCCCAAAGTGGTACTGCTGACTGGTGTGGCTTGGGATCAGCAAGCTTGCGGTGGGTCGAACATTTTTAAAGACTACATCATAGAATGCTATGAAATGTGAAAGCAGAGATTGATGCTTGTCAGATCTCCCCTGGTCCCAGTTACCCTAGTCACCAACTTGCCTAGGAGGGTCCCTTTCCTCCTTGGTTTCCTCTAGGTCCACCGGCTGCAAAGACGTCTTCAGAGGCGCCCCAATATTTTTGGCAGCTCTTTAGGTGGAGAGGGACATCATGGGAACATATTGGAACGTTGTAGGATGTTGTAGGGCTATGTAGGTCACGAAATGGAAGGAAAACAACCTCAAACCATCTCAAAGCCAACGAACTGCGTCTATTGGGAGCAATTCGGGCAGGGCAACCTATAGACACATGGTTTTTTTAAATGTTTTTTTTGGTCCTGTTTGAAGTGGCAGGCCGTGCCACTGGGGACTCCTGGAAAACAATTGGCAGCCAGGATCAACTGAACGAGCTGCTGAACCTGGAGCCTGCTCCAAAAGTCACCTGGATGATCTTGATCTGGTATGGTGGATAGGAGCCCGAAACCACCAAAGATGATGTTGACTGCAGGAAATTTAGTTGAACTAAGGTTGATGGTAGAAATAGATCCTATTCCAGAATCCAGGGAACAGATTCTGGCATGGTTTTGGTTTATGGGTAATAAATACGGGAGTGTGGCACGTTTATAACCTCAACTGCAGGTTCTGGTGGTTTCAAGAATCTTTCCCAGTTTACCTGGATTATGGCTTAATTCCAACGAATTATGCAAGTTAGTTGTATCATTATACACTACATGTATAATTTTAATTATAATTTGTATGAATATAGAATTATATATATATCTGGGTAAATTATAACGACCTCACTGCGACCTCACTGGAATAATGGTTAGTAAGGGAAATCATCCCCAAATGGCCTTAATTCAGGTTAGTGAAATATTATAATTTGCCCAGATATATATATATATATATATATGCGTGTGCGTTTTATATTTAAAGTAGGTTCAAAGCACCACCTCGCCGCCATAGGGGCCCCCAAGTTGTTTTTTTGTCATGTTTGCAAACCATCATCTTAACTGTTACCAGGAAGACTTGTCATTTTCCTAAGTGACCCTGCCAAAAATACATGATTCATACGCCATCGTACACCCTTAGTTATTAGATTTATTAGTGAGTGGTGGTCAAGGTTTGCCATTTATAAATCTCAATAAACCCCTATGAGTTGATTGATTCATGTTGAATCCCTATTACTTCCCCTATGGTTTTTGGGGAATCCCCATGATCCCCATTTTCAAACAGACAGGTGGTGGTGGTCTACGACGCGGATCGCGGCTCAACCACCGCAAGGGTCATCTCCAAAATCCAGGCAGTTCTTTTTTTGGGATGTCTTGGATTGAAAAATTGGAGTCATCCCAAGACATGGTTATGTCAATATCATTTATTATAAAAATTGGAGGATCTATTCCAGGTACCCAACCTGGTTATGTCAACAGTTGGCTATTGAAGTCATGGCCATAGAAATATTGGATTTTCCCATTGAGAACATGGTGATTTTCCATAGTTTTTTGTATGTTTACCAGAGGGTATTCAATATGATCAAGGGATGGTACAGGTTTTCGATGGTTTTGCTGCCTTAGACTCATCATCGAACGATGAGTCTGAGAGAGCACGGAATGCCAAGAAGTTTGATTACCTCTGGGGTCGCTGCGAAGATGACCATACCTTTGAATATCTTTGAATCCGATAGGGAGCCAAAGTAAAGTCATGTAAAATCTATGATCACCTTTGACCACCTGCACATGCCCGCGGAGATTCCATAGATTTGTGATTCTTAACGATTCTAAACCATCATTTCAATCTAAACTGAATATGTGGATTTTCCATGGGAAATTTCAGTACCGCGTTTGTTTGCCACAAGATCAGATTCATTTTTTTGCTGATTTAGATCACCATTTTTGGTGCTTAACATTTGGGTTGGATTCCCGAGTCGTTGTTGTCTAAATCCCCCTAGGTGTTGGTGCTTATTCTCAAGTGCTTTTAAACTCCATTCTTTGCGGCGGATTTTGCCGGGATTCTCCTTTTCTTATAAATCTTTTTCAGGGGTCTCTCTACCCTCTAGTAAACAAACATAGCCATGGAAAATCACAGTTTTTCAGTCAGTAAATCAATGATAAATGGGCCATGGCTTCCATAGCCAACTCTGTGACTCCCAGATTTTTGGTGAAACTCTCCCCATCCACCGCGCAGGAAGCCTATCCAGAGGCCGCTATCGTTGGCGGCGTGGTCATGGGCCGGCGCGTTGTGGCGAAACGGGGCCAGGGCGCCTTGTCGAATGGACGGGGCGTAGGGGCCCTCGCGATCTCCGGCAACGCGCCGTTGTTCGCCATGACGTGCCTTGACCGAAATGGTGGGATTTCATGGGGATCCGAAATGTGATGGCTTATGGTGGTTGCATACACCACATGAATACCAAATACTATAGGATACCATAGGCTATAGGTAGCACAAACCATAGTTATACAAGTAACTCTAAGTTATAGTTATAAGTTACCGTGTGTAAGTATCATAAGCCATAGGTAGAAACAAGAAGTTATATAGTTAACCACTTGGTTCATAGATCTAATTATACTGTAGTTATAAGTATCATGAACCATAGTGAATCTGGGGTTATGTTCACCAACTTAGCGATTTTGTAGACGGGGGGCCACTTTGTGGAATTTCATGCATTTTTTGTGGGATGTTAACGGGATACGAATGGAATATCAACGGAATTTGAATGGAATATCTATCAAACATGGCTATGCCCTCCAGTACTCAAACATGGCTGGCTGAGAAATCCGGGAGAAATCGGCTAATTTTGGGCATCAAAGATATGAAAAGCTGGCGAATGGAAGGTTGCTGACGACTGATGTTTTGTGAATTTGAGGTGCAAGTATGCCCAACTCAAATTGACATGTTTTATTTTCCCTCTTTTTTTGCTGCCCCAGCATCTTGGACCAACGTGATCTCAGCAGCTCAGGTGTCCCTTCACGGGCTGCGTGAAAACGGCTGAGAAAACCGTGGCAACCTGCATGAAGAGCGCGGCTGAGATGGCCGCGGAGAAGTGCCAGTCGATCCTGGGGGCGCGGCTTGACATTGTCGGTTTGATGGTGATTTGGATTTTTCATGTCGGTAAAACAATGCCATAAACCACCCATTTGGGAATGGTTATATATGTTTATATGGCTTATACCACCTATTTATGGTTAAATTGGGGGATGATTTATTATTGTTTACCATGTTTTACCCACATTAACCAACTGAATATGGGGATATGATGGGACATAACATCAGAATATATCAGATATACCCTCCAGTATTCAAACATTGCTGGGAAATCACCGAACGAAATGACCGTTGAAATGGGAACATCATCCATGAATGGTGCATTTTCCTGCCATTTTTGGGATTAGTGGAGGGAACAGTGGGCCTGGGTACCATCGACATTAACAGAGATCCACCTGTTCATCCCTCTGGCCTCGAAGAATCACCACCAGCAATAGGGATTGAATGACTGTAAGCACCCAGCCAGCAAGATGTGACAGAAATACCACTGTACTCACCCCCAAAAATGGGTTCTAACCCCATGACAATCTAACCTGGCAACTGGATACCCACACCAGGGAGAGCCGCTTGTCTATCTTCTTGACATTTCTTGACACAACCTGCGGCTGGTCGGGCTTCTGAACTGAGGCTGTTGTTCACTTGCAACGCGCGGGGGTCGCACATGTTTGGCCGTGACGCCAAGGATGCCGCTTTGTTTAAGGCTGGCATCATGTTGTTCTCTAACTGGCTGGTGGTAGTGAGACGTGGCAATTGGACATCCCTTGTAAATGGACGTTTTAATGAGAAAATAATCGATAAATGATTCATTTTCCATTGCCCTGTTTGATTTCCGGAGGGAAGCCATATTTTCGATGATCCCCAATGACAGTTATATTTTTCAAGGGGATTGAAACCACCAACTCCTCTAACCATCTCTGCTGCGTCAGGCACAGTTCCCCCGTGCTCCTCTGATGGGTTTCTATGCCGCCGGGGAGATCGGGCCACAGGTGGAGGATGGTGCCGAACATGCCTTCCTTCGAGGCAACGCCTGTCTTCAGGCGACTCTGCTGTTTGGAGGGTAAAGATTGGTAAAGCCATTGAGTTCGGGATTCAGATTTGCCAGACATCTGAAATGGAGGCCCCCCCCAAAATTGCTTCTCCCATCAATTGCGATCATTTTAAGCATTGGTTGAGGGGTGCCCCTTTTTTTTTCTCAAAAAAAGTGGAGAGAATTTCCGGCCATGGCATTTCCGGCCTTCCGTTTTGGCGCTTTTCCAGTGCCAAAAAAAACGGACCCGGGCCCAGGGCTTCACTGCAGTCTTTGGCCTCTTTTTGGTGCCCAGCAAACACATGCCCTCTGCAGCATTTCAGCGTGCCATGCTCCATGGTGAGGCACCGCTGGGTTGTTGTGGCGTCATGGTTGACCAAGTGCCAGAAGGGATGGTTGATATGTGCACACACACACACGGATACACACACACACATATATATATTATACACATGGATATGTAAACGTTTGTATATATATATATATATGTGTGTGTGTGCTGTATAAAATTAGATGTAGATAGAGTTATACAGATGCATACAGCATGTTAGTTTACCCTATGTGTGTATATTTGCACCTGCGCATATTTGTGCAGTGCATAAGCGTTCTGACGGGGGAACCATCGATTTCATGATCAAGATGGTATGTTTGGCTCTGACTGGTTGCCTGGCACATTTGGGGAACATGAGGGTGGATCCCAAGTCAGCCTGGTTCAGAACAATGAGATCATCATCATCATCATCATCATCCTCGTCGTCGTCGTCGTCGTCATCATCATCATCCTCGTCGTCGTCGTCATCATCATCATCATCATCATCATGCCTGAAGGTGCAAGAAGCTTTTGCAGACACCCGATGAAAACTGTGCAACTCTCAGAATTTTCCAAGCCTTGCAAGGCTTTGAGGGCTGGGGCCAAAGTAGGACCTGGCAAAATGTACATATGGCGAGAAGGTGAACTCCTGTGAAAATGGACTGCAGAAATTTGACGAGACTTGGTGATTTTCACCTTGCCAATCCTTGCCATTTTGTTCCTTGGTGGATGTGTATTAAGTCGAGTCTTTAGCGGCTGCTTGCACGACAGACACGGCTAGTGTCAATAAGTGTCATAGATCGGCGGCAGCTGTGGTGACCAGCCACCCAGAAACGACAGTCTGACAGTCGCTGGAAAAGCGCAGGGGGCTAAAGGGCAGATGGGATCATCCTGCTGTTTGGCAGGATTTTTCCAGGTACCCTCTGGATCCCTTTGGTAAATCAACAGTTTGTGGTGGACAACCACTGACATGATCTTTAATGGGAAAATCATTTATGAATGGGCAATTTTCCATGGCCATGTTAAATTACAGGAGGATAGCGTAGGTTTTTCCGTACGAAGCCCTACAACTGCACATAGGCAGACGACAGTCCCTGGTTTTAACCGGCTTCAACTTCCAAGAGTTGAAGGGAACTTGTGAAGGAACGAAGCTCGCAAGAAATTTTTTTTTTTCATTGGTTTCCATTGGAAACTCTATAAATATGGTGGTTTCCTATAAGTTATTTTGCCATGAACATCCATGGGTTTTCCATGGGTTTTCCCATAATTTTGCCATGAAAATCATCCCCCGGGGTGCATGGGAGGCTACTCACAGAACGAGGCTGAGCAGGTGATGCAGGTGACTGGACCTGGAAGCTGTGGAGGATGTACTTCATATGCATCATATAGATTCAGTATTATCCACACACACACATATATATATATATATTCATGGTGTGTCCATTCTTGATCCGGGAGGATAATCACAAGACTCGCTTCCTCCCAACATAACCATCCAGAAACACCTGGTTGGGTATTGGCCCTATCTATTCTATTCTGGGGGCCCATGTTGGGTAATTTAACAACACCGGGATGGTTTGACATAGTCCAATTGACTTAACAAATCTTCACATCTTTTTTCTCCTAGATGGGTTGACACCAGCAAGATTCGGGTGCAATTGATGGACCCCAAACCGGGATATTTTTGTTGAGATGCGGGGGAAGGGGCCTTTTGTGAACACGTTGCTGGAGAAGGGGTCGTTGGGTTTCCGCTGCTTTCTGGGGGTTTTCCAGGCGTTCCCAGACGAACGACCCCAGGAATCAACCACCGAATTTCCATGGTGGAGAGACGGGCATGCGTCAAAACTTATTCACTACTATTGCCCTTCTGAAATCAATGGTCTGATCCAAGTTGGGGCAGCATTGGTGGGTTTATGCGCAAATGACTTGACCCATCCGTAGATGTTGAGACAAAACATGACTCAACCATCAAATTTTGCAGGCCCCAGGGTCTCAAGTTGTGCCAAAGTCAAAGGGTGCCACTTTCCAGGCCCCAAACTCGTCACAAGAGGTGCGAAATGGGCCTGAAAAATTCGATGGGGAAGTGGTGAAATGCACCAAGTTGTTCAACAACAGGATGATATGCATGTGTAGTAGCATATAGTAATATAGTAGCCGTGTTCTTGAAGATTTAGTTGCCATTGGGGATTCCGACACTCAAACTTGGTGCGCAGGCAGTTGATGAAGGTATGGAAAAATCACCCTGCGTGAATGTCCAACTTTGGCAGTCAAATCCCTGCTCCAAAGGGGTAGATACTAAAGCAATTGCAGTTGTGATTTGTCCGAAGAGAGATCTGCTCCAAAGGGGTGTGGGCCTGGGAGTGGCAAGGCGATATACACCCATAATGTTTGTCGATTCATAGTTCCATTCCGGTCCATTCCATATACATATCCATAATATCCATTTATTTCCCTATTTTTCTATATTTTTCTCGGATCATGTCCACATTTGTATCCTTGGCGAAGCATCCCACATGGTCTTACCACTCTGCACCTTCCCAGATGATCCGGGAGTACATCGTGGACAACAGCCACCTTCAAGCGTCAACTCCAGGTGCAGCGACGGCGCTGCGGTTGTTTCGTTGTAAACGCCTAGATAGATGGGGAAATCAAGGAAAATCCATCTATTATCAATCAAAATCCATCTATTTCCATCTATAATCTATATAATTCCTTTATTTTTTGGCGGGCCTAGTGCTTGGCAGATATGCAGATTGGATGAGATTGGGAAGACGAAATCGCCGGGTTTTGGCTGACAGGCTTGGGCTATCGGAGGATGCGGGGGGGAGAGGTAGGGAGCTGCTTGCAGAGATTCAGATGGTACCTTTGATATACCCAGGACTGAATGATTTTAACGCCAAAATTGCTGCCCCTTCAATTTCTACTGGGACTGGGGCTTGGGAAATGATCATTGTCCATGCACATCCCGTTTTACTACAAAATTTTGCAGATCTCGCGGTTGGTTTCAAAACTCAACATTCTATTTTCACACCCTACTTGGTGGTTCACCCCAGTTAGTAAGTGGTTAGTTCGCCCACTTGCAATCCCTGAGGTGAAGCACCAAGCAATCCCTTCCCCCTCATATGAAACACCCCCAGTAACCATGGTTTACTCTCTAGGGAACAAACGTATCCACTTTTTTTGTGGAAAAAAAGTTTTTTTTTGTAGTAGAGGATTTTATATATATATATATATGTATATATTATATTTATCTATTTTGGCCCAACAATGGGGCAGGGATTGGCAGATCCCAACTGCCGGAGATCAGGTCCGATCGCTTGTCGTCCTCACAACGCGAGGACCAAATCCTCATCGGCCAGGGTGGAGAACGCTTGGGAGCGCTGGCCTCGAAGCCCTGCAGCTGATGGCTGTTGTGACTGGATCTTTTTTTTTTCTCCCACTTGCTTTGATCTATGCATATAGACATGTATGTAAATGTAAATGTAAATGCAAATGTAAATATGTAATGTAATGTATATGTATATATACATACACATATATGTATATATACATACACATATATGTATATTATATATATATATATTATATATGTATATGTATGTGTATGTGCCTTCGTGTCTACGTGACGCATTTTCGACCATCCAGCCTGGGCCATTTTCGCTCCGACACATTTGAGGCCCTGGGGGAAGGTGGTCAAGGGCGTGGATGAAGGAGATTGGCTGGGGCCTCACAGCTAGTCACGGATGGCCCGGATGGGATTGGCACGGGGAGTTTGACGGATTAGTCGGGCGCCAAATCATGAAGCACCACAAATTGATAAAGATGAAGTTGCCCTAAAATCATGATTCTGGTTGGTGGTTTGGAACATGGCTTTTATTTTTCCATATGTTGGGAAGAATCATCCCAACTGACGAACTCATATTTTTCAGAGGGGTGGCTCAACCACCAACCAGTGATTAATCAGGTGCCTCTTCAAAACTCAGGGAAAATCATGGGAAAACCGAGCCTAAATGTTGCCCGAGTTCGCCAAACTGAGCGAATCCTTACCACTGGAGCTATCATGTTCGGCACACCCCATCATGGAAGAAACATTGGATGCACCCACACATATTCATACATACATAATTATATATATATATATAATATATATAGTATATAGTATATAGTATATAGTATATAGTATATAGTATATATATATATAAAGAGTATATACATGACTTGAATACCTTATCGCTTATAGTCTGCATATGTTTTCCCGAATTTAGCACCTGAGTTCATGCCGTCTGCTGTCTGGGCATCTTCGCAGGTTGAGAGTTGGACAGCTCTTCCTGCCAAAATCCTTGTGCCTTGGAATGCCTGAAATAAACCCCATATTTGTATATCCCAAGTAAACATTATCGGTTTAGTATAGGATAACAGATATGATATAACATTATATATATATATATACATGGGTATACTTCTTATGTAGATGTATATGTTACAGTTATATCGCTATCCATAACTTACTAACTGGGATGCACCCCCAAGCAGTCGTGATGCTGGGAAATATATATTGACATGAGACACACAGGTTTGATGAACCAGTCCATGACGAGAAATAGCTGCAACAAAAACATGTTTTGATTTGGGGGTTGCTTCGGTGTCCTGCTTTGCACTGTAAGTATCACTGCAGAGTTCTGCAGCCTTATTTTTTTACCAAACGTGTGTGTGTGTGTTTGAGTCCTTGTCATCATGTTCGCTAGTGTTGGCCTGGGTTGTGTCAGACCTTCAGCCAGGGGGCTGTGCCCATTGTTTTGGGGCCTTATGCGCCACTAATACATACTTTTACCTGGAAAAAGATAGCCGCACTTTTTTGCAATTAAAGAGAAGAAAGTTGAACAAACTACAAATACGTTTCCCGCATGTGCTCTGTTTGCAGAGGGGGGCACAGGTTACAATGCAAGGCTCGGCTCAAGCAACAGACATAATTTTTATTTATACAGATGATTTTCCCATGAAAGCTACCGTTTAGCTTGGGGATTTCCCATTGCCACCTTTGATTACCGAAGGCTGATCCATTCGCCCAGGGGCGGCTTTGCAGTCCTTCACTCCAAGGGCAGCAAGAAACGGGTGGCCAAGAACGGTGCAGCCGCTGCCTCGGGTCGGTCCTTGGGTTGGCCTGGAAATAGGGCCCCCCCAATTCCCAATGTTTATCATAATGTCATTCTATAAGACACTGCAAAAGATGATAAAGATGTGGTGCCCTGCCATGGGCAAAGCCATTTCATCTATACAATTTGATTGTAATTTATGTATATATATAGTCTATGTGATGATATATATATATAATATTATATATACATAGAATATCTACATATGTAGAATTGTAGAGTTGGACATTGTTTGGAGGCTTCATGTCGAAGCTCTGAGGCCTGGCAGTTAAACACCCCACCTACCCGCTCGACCCGCTCTCGAGGTGTGTCTTTGTTTGAAATTTAGGTGGTGAAAAAAACCCAATATCCACTGAATCTATCATTGTTCTCCTCAGTGATTGTTGCTTCATACGCCCCTAAGAAAGGAAAAAAAAGGCCCTCTTACTATTATGTATTACTCTTATTATATTCTTTCTCCATTATCCATTTACCCTTATATATTATTTCTCCATTATTACTATATACTAATGTTGTTGCTGTTACCTAACTGTTATCGTCATATGAGTCACCTTGGGGCCACCTCCAAGGCCCCACAGTATGTTGACTGCTTGATGACTTGGCCGACCTGTGCGGGTACCTGGAAGTGGCCAGTCTGCCAGTCCGCCACAATCGTTGGAGAAAACCGTAGGGTTTCCTTAACATAGGGGTACTCCAATAGCTGGATTGTTTATAACGGAAAAAAAACCTCTTGAAATGGATGATGTAGGGGTACCCCCATGGATTGGAAACCTCCAACTGTAGGGTTTATGGTATGTTATACCGAACTAGTATAAATAGTGTAAACCAAGTCATCACTTGGGGGGCCTCCTTGTATCACATTGGATGGTACAGCAGCATGTGAAAGTCACTGTCCTTCCTATTTTCTTAGGCAGTTTAGAGTATTTCCTCACTATTGCTCTGTTTGGTGGTTTCATTTTTTCCGCCCCAAACTTCGAACAATGATGTCGCAACAGCTGCCAACTGGCATTCATATATTTCCAAGGGGTAGTTTCCGGTCTGGGCTTCCACATGTCTAGATGGGTGTGTTTGCCTAGAATTCTGCGGAATAACATGGGTTCCCGCAGCTTTTCGAGACCCATCCATCGACAAAAAGGATCAGATTGTAGAAATAATATATGTATATAGATTATATATATATAGATATATATCTACAATATAGAACTATATATCCATCTACAATATATATATATATATATATCATGTTATATCATGTTGTATCACATGATGTTCCACAGCATCCACGTCCCATGAAACGGTTGACTGGATGCCGGGTTCACATCCTGAACCAAAAAAACACTGAGTACTGCTTGATTCAATCCCCAAAGAATCCCTTATCATTTGGGGATAGAAACATCTAGAATCTAGCCATGGTTTCATGATGTTTCATGAATTTCCCCCAATCATTTTTAAGGATAGAACCTATGGTTTCCCATGAGTTTTTTCCCTCAACTCTTCAACCAATCCATAGCAATTTTGTTTTTTTTTCTCCACGCCTGGCCCAAAAGGTTCGGACTTTGCGGCCCTGGAAGCCGAGTCCTCGCACTGCTCCGCTAGTGCGCCGGCGTTGTTGGAAGATGGGTCTGGATGGGTCTGTTGGAAAATGGATGCCTGGTTGGTGGTTTGGAACGTTGGACTTAGTGGTTTCCCAATATAGTGGTTAATAGTGGTTAATAGTGGTTAATGAAATATCTGGTTGGTGGTTTGGAACATGGCTTTTATTTTTCCATATGTTGGGAATGTCATCATCCCAACTGACGAACTCCATCATTTTTCAGAGGGGTAGGGTTGAAACCACCAACCAGATGCACATTGGGTATACCATGGTATAGCCATAAAATTGCCATCTATTCGGGAAAATGATGAATCAGAGGATGGCATGAGATAGCCGAATTGTTCAGAGAAACCCACTGAAATCATGTGTTGGAGATTGTCGGATTGTCGGATTTTTCCTTGCAGGAAAAATATGGAAAAATGGGATGTGATTCATGAGATTGAGATGAGATGAATGAAAGACTGAAGTGAGGCAAGGTGCCACAACACTTGGGCTGCCGATGGACTGGTAGAGAGATAAGTCAAGAATACTACACGAGATGATTCATGAATATGGTAAATGCGGCATGACAACACAGATGAGGTAAATGAGATGGATAGAATGGACAAGACGGCTGGCTGGCTAAGATGGACCACACAGTTATTGACCGGCCAGAAGCGATAAGTGAGCAGACAGGACTGGTATGCAGATGAGAATGCCTTTGAGGAAGAAACAATCAAGACCGACCTGCAGGGTCCGGCAGGATCTGGCAGGGCGAGTAGGACATTTTCTGTGTTTCTGGTATCTTTGATCTGGTGGAAGTTCCACCTCAGTTTTCTTCAGCCAAAGCTGACTCTGCATGACAGGTTCTTCGGTGCGAAGCACGGGCGAGGCCACGTTCATGAAGTTGGCTTGTCATACAAGGGGGAGAGACCAAGCCCGAATCAAGTCCTCTCAAGAACAAACAAAGCATAGGCGAAGTCATATACGACTCAATAACATGTGGTAGAGGGTCCCATAATGGCAAGAGTATTGCAAGAGTCACCAGCCCCTATGCCCACCAATGAGTTTGGGAATTGGCAGTGCCATGCGAGAGCCATTGGTGCTCAATCAGGCAAGCGCACATGAAGCACCCAGGCGACAGTTTGGGTGTTTGTGGGTTGCATGGATTGACTGATAGGCCTTCTACCAGGAGGGTAGCAAGTGCGCGTTGCTGAATAAGAACCGTGCCTGTTGCCAATTTGGGGTCCCATGTCCTATCACACTTTCTCATCACATCTCATCAATTTTCTTCAATTTCCTTACTGTATATTTTCCTGAATGCCTCTGAGGATGATATTCCCAGAGCCCTCGTTGTTTCTACCTATTGATTCGCCATGTGGGGATGGCTCAAACATTTTCTTCCCAAATTAAAAGGAGTGACCTGGACCAAAAAAACGGCCAGCCAGTAGTGGCATCCCCCTAGCATGTTTTGTTCAGCTGCTTACCTTTTTCTGCAAAGCCCTGCGTAGAAAACATCCTTTGTGAATCCCCATGGCTAGTTTCTCCAGAAACAGCACCCCTGAAGGAACTAGCTGGGAAACTCTCAGGCCTCCAATCCCTACCCTTTCCCAGTGTGTACGGGAAAGCCTGCAGGAAATCCCTTTTTTGTGACGTAAATATATCCAGAGATTCCACATAAACTACTATGAATCATCCAGACATTTACCAATTGACCATTGACCCATAGATTATTCACTGCTGTATTTTTGTTTGTTTGCTATGATGTTTCCCCTTTTTTGTCACCCGAATAGGGCTGATCTCCAAGCCCTGCAGGAAGATTCCCATCTCTGAAGTTTGTAGCGCGGTAGCCATGGCCGCAGCCTGCCCCTCGCACGGCAGGGGATGCTCAGTGGGGAGCATGGCGTGCTGGGGCAAGGGTGTAGAAAAAATTGGGATGAAGGCTTCCTAAAATGGGTGGTACCCCAAATCATCAGCCCATTTTAGTGTTGAAACGCGTAGCAGCCAATTTTTCGGTATCGGTCCGGTAGAAGAATCATTGAACAGATGGGACACAGCATGGGGATACCACCAGCAAGAGTACGGATGTCGCCAGGCTGGCAATATTTGGATCAGACCGGCAGCGTGCCTTGGCGAATGTCGAAGGGATGGGCATCAGGTTTCAGGGAAAGCCGCCCAATGACCCTGGAACTTCAGTAATTTCATAGGGATTTCAATGGGATTTCCCGAATGAATTGTGATCACCCCCGATGTATCAGGATAGCATCGATAGTACAATCTCCGAACTAATCATCAACTGAATCATCAACCAACCATGATTTATCAGTATTTGTCGGATGTATCCACTTATATCCCCATATTGTTGATGCTTCGATGTCCATTTTTGATGGTTAAATCATGTTAAATCCCCATTTTTCGTTGCTGGTTGAAGCCCTAAACTCTTCATGGGGTGAAATCTCCGAGCTCTTCATGGCGCTCCCAGGTGCAGGGCCCGTTTTCCCTGGATGAGATGAGGCATTGGAACAGAAAGGCCTGGGTCAAAGATGGTCAAACGAGTCAGAAAGCCCTAGGGAACTGGGGCCCCCAGTTAGCTAAAACTATATACAAATAAATGTAGCTATGTAACATACGATGTATTTATGGTTATATATTTATATATTTATATATATATTCATATATATATATACAGTCAGTGCCAGAATTATAGAACGGAAAAAAAGAGGACAAAAGTACGGTAAAATACCGTACCTTTGTCCTCTTCCGGGTTCGAACCTGGAGCGGAGTCGGAAAATTTAATTATAGAACGGAAGAGGACAAAGGTACGGTATTTTACCGTACTTTTGTCCTCTTTTTTTCGGTTCTATAATTCCTGGCGCTGACATAAAATGAGGATAAAATGAGGAAATGATGAGGAAATGATAATAAAACGTGGATAAAATGAGGATTTAATGGGGATTTGATGAGGAAATGAGGATAAAATGCAGATTTAATGAGGATTTAATGAGGATTTGATAAGGAAATGAAGATAAAATGATGATAAAATGTGGATTTGATGAGGAAACGATGATAAAATGAGGATAACATGAGGATAAAATGAAGATAAAATGAGGATTTGATGAGGAAATGACGATAAAATAAGGATAAAATGAAAAAAATAAGGATTTAATCAGGATTTAATGAGGATTTGATGAGAAAATGAGGATAACATGAAGATAAAATGAAGATAAAATGAGGATTTGATGAGGAAATGATAATAAAACGCGGATAAAATGAGGATTTAATGGGGATTTGATGAGGAAATGAGGATAAAATGCAGATTTAATGAGGATTTAATGAGGATTTGATAAGGAAATGAAGATAAAATGCTGATAAAATGTGGATTTGATGGGGAAACAATGATACAATGAGGATAACATGAGGATAAAATGCTGATAAAATGAGGATTTGATGAGGAAATGACGATAAAATAAGGATAAAATGAAAATAAAATGAGGATTTAATCAGGATTTAATGAGGATTTGATGAGAAAATGAGGATAAAATGAAGATAAAATGAAGATAGAATGGAGATTTGATGAGGAAATGATAATAAAACGCGGAGGAAATGAGGATTTAATGGGGATTTGATGAGGAAATGAGGATAAAATGCAGATTTAATGAGGATTTAATGAGGATTTGATAAGGACATGAAGATAAAATGCTGATAAAATGTGGATTTGATGGGGAAACGATGATACAATGAGGATAACATGAGGATAAAATGAAGATAAAATGAGGATTTGATGAGGAAATGACGATAAAATAAGGATAAAATGAAAATAAAATGAGGATTTAATCAGGATTTAATGAGGATTTGATGAGAAAATGAGGATAAAATGAAGATAAAATGAAGATAGAATGGAGATTTGATGAGGAAATGATAATAAAACGCGGAGGAAATGAGGATTTAATGGGGATTTGATGAGGAAATGAGGATAAAATGCAGATTTAATGAGGATTTAATGAGGATTTGATAAGGACATGAAGATAAAATGAGGATAAAATGAGGATTTGATGAGGAAACGAGGATAAAATGAGGATAACATGAGGATAAAATGAAGATAAAATGAGGATTTGATGAGGGTTTGATGAGGAAATGAGGATAGAATGGGATAAAATGAAGATTTAATGAGGACTTGATGAGGAAATGAGGATAGAATGAAGATAAAATGAGGATTTGATGAGGAAACGGGGATAAAATGAGGGTAAAATGAGGATTTAATGAAGAAAATATGAAGAAATGAGGATAAAATGAGGATAACATGAGGATAAAATGAAGATAACATGAGGATTTGATGAGGGTTTGATCAGGAAATGAAGGTAGAATGAGGATAAAATGAAGATTTAATGAGGATTTGGTGAGGAAATGAGAATACAATGGTGATAAAATGATGATTTACATAATTGCATACATATTTGTACATATTTCTGACTGCTTCAATGCTGCTTCTTCACCAGCCGGCACAGAAGGGTCTGCGCCAAACTTGGTCACAGGCACATATTCACTCTCAAACTTCTCATATGGCTTTCTAGAAAGTGCATAGCACAATGAAAAGGATGTCTTTTTCCAGGTGCTTATTTTTCACAAACAAATACAATACATACATACAGTACTTTTTCTGGGGCCGGTTGTGACACTCCTGTCAACAGCCATGGAGTCCACGGAACCTGGCCATGGTTCCCTGGATGCTGGCGGCTTTCCGATCAAAGTGCCACTGGGCGATATATACGTACAAATACATACATACATACATACATACATACACGAAAAAAATGGACAGACCGAGAACTGTTTTTTTGGTGAATTTAGCAAGGAAAACCAATCTTAACTACATAAACTCCACTGATCTTGACCCCGTTTTTTGCCCATACATACATATTTGCCCATACATTACATATACAGTACATACATACATGCATGCACAAGTACACGGACATATGTACATACCTTCTGAGGAAAACAGAATTATAGAACAACAGGGTTAAGGTAAGTTTTTTTTATACCCTCCGAGGAAAACAGAATTATAGAACAACAGGTTTAAGGTAAGTTTTTCCATAACTTCTGAGGAAAACAGAATTATAGAACAACAGGGTACGGTAAATCTCCGCACCTTCGTACTCCTGAACTTCCGTTCTTTATTTGTGGCACTGACACATACAGTAATTTGGAAACACATACATACAGTAATTAGTACAGTAATTGCATATTATTTTTCATATGCGTACCATGACATATGTACATACATGTTCGCATACATATGCATTGCATGTGTAATTCTGTGGCATTTCGGCCTTTTTGGCTGCATGTACAGTATACAGTATACCTGCACAAGTCACTTTCATGCATACTCAGGTTCACGAAGCACTTGGCCTATCGCGCCAGCGCTGGAATTAGCCGTAAGTTCATGTACAATGTCTGTGGGTCAGCAGAGAAGGCCATGGAAGAAGCACATCAGTTCGGGAAGCTTTTCAAAGCAGTTCTCCGGGAGTATGATACCTACAAAAAGAAACCTGAATGTCGGGAGATGCTCTTGAACAAGCACAGCTTGCAAACGAAAAAGACCATTGCTGACACCAGGTTAGAGTTGGAGAAAGGACTGTGCAGTGGCAGCAGTCCAGTTTTTGAGGCAGAATTGAAAAAAATGAGGACTGGAGAAGCCAAAGACGGAAAAGAACCCATGGATAAAGAAAAGACAATGCAGAAAGCAGACCTCCCAGCTGAATCTTCCCAGAAAGGGGCAGATTCAGAGGCAGTGGCAAAAGTGATCTCTGAAGGTGTCTTCCCCCTAGAAGATGGCTTCTGCGCAGTGTTTGATGCAGGGTGCGAGCAGATTGTGAAGGAATTTGCCACCGAGGAGAAAGCAAATGCCTACTTCTCTGCTTTGGTGGAATTACGCAAAAACAATGCTTTGGCGAAGGTTATGAACAAATTGAAGCTGAAAACTGCGACTGCCTCTGACCTCATGAAGACGTATACAGCCATGATGCACAAGAAAGAACTTCAGGCACGAAGGGTTGGGGGATGAACTGGCTCATTCTTTCCTTTCAAATTTCTACAAAAAAAGCATTTACGAAGATGATTTTGCATTCAGATCTTGATTCCTGTGTTTGGGGGAGCGGTTTTCTCCTGTCACTTTTCTTTTGAAAGTCTTCAAATGGAAGAATTTCGAGGTAAATTGGGCTCCTCTTTTTCGAGGGACCAGATTTTTCCATACATATGCATGCATGAATAATAATAGAACGACAAAAAATAATAGGGGAAAGTTAAGGTAATTTTTTCATACCTTCTGAGGAGAACAGAATTATAGAACAACAGGGTTAAGGTAAGTTGTTTTCATACTTTCTGAGGAGAACAGAATTATAGAACAACAGGGTTAAGGTAAGTTTTTTTCACACCTTCTGAGGAAAACAGAATTATAGAACGACGACAGGGTTAAGGTAAGTTTGTTTCATACCTTCTGAGGAAAACATACTTATAGAACAACAGGGTTAAGGTAAGTTTTTCTCATACCTTCTGAGGAAATCAGAATTATAGAACAACAGGTTTAAGGTAAGTTGTTTTTCATACCTTCTGAGGAAAACAGAATTATAGAACAACAGGGTACGGTAAATCTCCGTACCTTCGTACTCCTCAACTTCCGTTCTATAAGTGTGGCACCGACCATACATACATACTTACATATATACATACATACATATTCTGTTTTGCTGCTGCTAGACTGGGGATGCTTCATCGAGCGTGGCCTCTTTCAAGTTCGAAGATGGCAGGGAGATTTGGGACCAAGTCATGGGTCAAAACACGAAGGACAAGTCTGAAGAGCCTACTTTGTCCTCTTCCACCAATCGCGTTCACTTGGGCTTGTGCAAGGCCAGCATACAGGCCTGCCAGTCAGCCAATTCAAGCCGATATGTCGCTTTTGTGGGGGAGAAGTGGAAGAAGGATAAGGGAAAAGAAGTCTGGAGAGGTAGCAAAGCAATCATGTCCACCTGCGTGAAGAAGCTGACTTCGGCAGTGGAGAAAGAGGTTTCAGACACAGTCAAGATCGCAGGGTTTGGAGTTGTTTACCTCACAAAAGAGAAGGTTCAGTCAGAGCGTCCTCCTGATTTCATCTTGCAGTGGATGAAGGAGTGTTCAACCCTCATCGGTGGAATGCCCTTGTTCCTACAAG